TCCATATTAGCACTTCAGAAAAACAGGGAATGGGAAAAATGCTACAATTACCGTATTTTATTTTTTTCGTCTATAAGATGCCCCCATGTATAAGACGGGGGACTCCGATTTAAGAAAATGGGGGGAGATCTATGCGTGTATAAGACGCCCCCAAATTTTGGATATTATTTTTTAGGGGGGGAAACTAATCTTATACACGGAAAAATACGGTAAGCCAGTCATTGGTGGCAAAGTTGAAATTAAAGTTGAATTGACTTTTTTTGTGATAAATTAAGCTTGCATCCCCCTCTCACACTGCACCATCTACTAGTTGAGGAACTTTACTACCCTAGTTTGGCACCTTCTGTCAATGTTCCTCAGTAATTAAATAAAGGGAAGAATTGACTTATCTATTAAAAAAAAATAAAAAGATTCCACCTTCCATCCAAGCTGATGTTGCAAGGCCTCTTAACTACAATATAACAACCAAACTATATTAAAACAGGATCAAACAATGCAGTCACAGCATGAACAGTAGTAGAAATCACAGGGCTGAATGAGGACATAAAAAGGAAGAGTTTATTTCCCACCATCTGAAATGCCCCCCCCCCAAATAGCAGGGTCTAACTTGTCATCTGAACCCCATTAGTGAGGGAGTCGTGTGAGCCTCCTTTGGAAGGTGGTAATTACACATTGGTGTAATTTGGAAATGTGGGCGAAATTGCACTAACTGCTAGGTCTGGAAGGTGGAATTTTTTTAAATAGATAAGTCAATTCTTCCCTTTTTTAATTACTCAGGAGCATTGCCAGAAGTTGCCTTATCCCCACATCTGAATTCTGTTCAGGGAAGAATGCCAGCTGTGGTGGGCTATTAGAAACAGCTCAAGGCTACAGGCCTCTGGCATTATCTATCCACCCTCACTTTCTCCAAAAGAATGTGTGTGCATGCTTATAGAGCCAAGACTGCATTCATCAAGCAGTTAGAAGTGAGGAGTTTGGATTAAGTGAGTGGATCTCTCTGTATATTTGGATGTCTACAGTTCAACCTCTAAGATCAGAGAATCGTACTTAGTAATAGTTCATGATGCACCAGTATCTCTTCAGCATATGTGTATAGTGTGTTTGACTTGTATTGTGTCTTGAGACAATAAACACCTTACACCAAACTGTATGGGCAAGGAGTTTTCGTAACTGTCAACTTGAAAAGGCTAACAACTAGACTCTAATGCTCTTGATGGCCTTCTCTGCTGCAGCTATGCACACTGCTGATCACACTGGTCAAGGTGTGATATCATAAAACTATATGTTCCATAATCTAGGCATCACCACCAATAAGGCCATGTCTTGGATTGTCATCCACTACAAATCAGACAGCGAGGAAATCTGGAGCAGGGCCTCAAAATCTTATGCAGGTAACAGGGAATGTTCATGGGGTGTAAGCCTGCCCTTAAGGCATCCTGGCCCCAGATCAGGGGTCAGCAACCTTTTTCAGCCATGGGCCGGTCCACTGTCCCTCAGACCATGTGGTGGGCCGGACCATATTTTGAAAAAATAATAATGAATGAATTTCTATGCCCCACAAATAACCCAGAGATGCATTTTAAATAAAGGACACATTCTACTCATGTAAAAACACGCTGATTCCTGGACCGTCCACGGGCCGGATTGAGAAGGCGATTGGGCTGCATCCGGCCCATGGGCCTTAGGTTGCCTACCCCTGCCCAGGATCACCCATTAGGAACAAGGGAAATTATTAGCAAGACAGGCGTTACCTAGATTTTGGGCCACAGTAGAAAAAGCTATCCTTTAATTAAGTAGCACATGAAATGCTTAAACCTATGGACTTAAAAACTGAATTTCATCAGCACCCTTTGATCAGAATTGTACAAGCATTGCTCCAGAATTCTGTGATGTATACAAGGGTTGCAATTCAAATCCCTGAAAATCTTGGGCTCTGCAATGGTATTGTAGGAAACTGCCTTATAACATGTCAAGCTATTTGTCCATTTAACTCAGTATTGACCATTCTGACTGACAGCAGCAATCCTATACATAAGTACCTGGAAATAATTTCCCTTTAAGCCAGTGGAGCTTACATCTGGGAAGAAATGCATAGGATTTCACTGTTAATAATAAATACACCAAAGAGCAGCCTTTGAACCCAGCCCCTTCCACCAATCATTTGCCTCTCCTATAGGAGCCCCCAACCGACACACCCTTGCTCCACCCCCCCTCCCGATGCATGTTTGCTTCCAGCTATGCAACAGTTTTCACTATCTATGCATTCATGCTCAAAAGGGATAATTAGTTATCAGGTTTAAAACAGTTCACTACATCTTTGCTTTTGAATCCATTAATAAAAGTCGTTAGCTACTCAACAGCCTAAAATTAACGATGCAGGCAAGCCTATTTGCATCAGAAAGCATTATCCTCAATGCTGCATTTGAGATGGGATGGGAATGGACAGATTTTTTTCCTTCTTTTGTTACTTACAACCTCTTTGACATTGCTAGGACATCAGCCTCATTTATCACAGGGAATCTGCTTCCGAGTAAGGATATTGAGGATCAGGAGAAAAATTGTGGGAAATGATTGGTCTTTAAGCTGTATTCCACACTGAGAAGATGTGCAAAGTTAGTTCTCTTTACTTAGGGCAAATCAATTAATAAAAAAGTGGGGAGATCATCCCTTAAAATGAGAGAGAATAATGACCAACCTACTTCCCTCACTCCCCTTGATAGGATGGGGTGATCAAGCTTGGACTAGTCGCTCCATCCGTCAACAGAGAATTTTCACATTAAAGGCAGCAGCCCAACATACAGAATTTAGTAACAGGGAAAGCTTCTCTCTCCCCTGCCTCCACCACCCAGTGCTAAAATCCATGGTGTGAAAACCCTCACTTGCAACCTTTGTGCACCCAGCTGCTGCTAAAAAGCACACGAGCAGACTTTATTCTGTCCTTGTTTTAGGGAAGAGTTCACTGCTCTCCTAACAATAAGTTGCACTGCTAATGTTTGCTACTAGCAGGGTTCCCATGCTTAACAGATGTAGGGCATTCAGAAAATTGGCAAGTGAAGCCTTCCCCATTATTAAAGGTATGTGCTGGAAAGGTGGAGAATGAGAGCTACCAGCATTGTTCATCTAGCAGCAGATTGAATGCAGTTAACTGAATTATCATTCCTCCCCCTTACAACCCATCCCCGTGCACCCCCAAAATCTTCTTTGGAGAGCTGGTGTAAAGATGTTGGGTGCACATGGGAGCTGCAAGGTGGTGGAAGAGTAGCAGCCGTCTGCTCACACATTGTTTGATGTCGCCCATAAGAAGCTAGGAGAGAATGCAAAGTAGTATCAAAAGTAGCTCACAAGACTTAACATACACAGGAAACAGAGTTTTCGGAAGGAGATTGAAATATGTGCAGCAGGTGGTGTATGTAAAACGCAAAGTTGTGGAGCTACAACTAGTATGCTTGCACTTCAACTTTTGTTTGTGTGTTGTTGACTCTGAATAGATTATCTGAAATTTGTGTTGAAGCTGGAAATAGAAATGTAATTGGATCCCGGTTTTGCATGGCGCTGCATCATTCAAAAACAAATAAGCCATCTAGGAGGTAGGTTTGTGGAGGTTTTGGTTCCTCTCTTTCTAGTTTCACCCATCCTTCATTATTTTTACATCTCAGTTCTAAAAAGTAAAATTGCTGATTTCTTCTGCTTAGCTTCATTTGTTTCCCCCAGCGGATTGTTTTGGGACTGCATTTGTCCGAATGAAGATGGCTGGGGCAGGTGGTGGAAGTGGAAAGAGACTGCGATTGCACCTAGTCGTTTCATTTTTCTCAGCTTGGTGATTATTGTAGAGTTTGGACAATGACATAAGTTTCTAACTCTGAAAGAGGGCATTCCATCACTAGCAGACAGCAGCTAAGGATAGCATCCTCAACGTCAGATTTAGTGGATTTCCATTCAAGCTGTTTTGCAGTATGCAAAGCAGAACTGGGAAAGAAAAGTTGCTTCTGTTCAAGTGGATGCAGTTTTTAACACACTATGTATCTTCATAACATTATGCCTGCGCTCTCCCTGACATATTGCAAGTGTGGAACTGTGGATAAGAACAGGCAGATCCACAATACAGTAAGGACACAGCAGCACAGGTGCTTTTCAGAGATGCAATGGTCAGCACCATCACTGGATAAATATTTCAATGCAGATAGTTTCAAGCAACAGCAGCATTTCCTAAGGCAGATAATGAAAGTCATTATCATTAATAGGGTGCCTAAAACATACTAAGCACTTTGGAGAGGGTGGGGGAGCAGATATCGGCCCCTAATGACTTGATACTTAAGAAGTGAATGAGAATAGCAAAGAAACAGGGACAACACATAGGACGGAGAGGGGAACCTTGTACCCCAGATGCCAACTCACATTAATGTATCTGACGTCAAAGGAGGGCAATGTAGCTTCCTGTCTTTGGAAGCTAGTTACTAGTTTTACTTGAATGCATCTAACTTTAGAGAGTGAGAGGGATGTAAAGAGATGCTGTCATTGAGCCACAGATAAGGCCTGCATTAGCAATATAGATCTTCCTTCTCACACGCTTTCAAATTCATTCAGAAAATGTGCACTCAAGAGCCTATTCCTCGAACTTAGTGTTACCATTACTCACTTGGCATCTGCTACATGGTCCTGTGCACTAGAAGTTGGTCTTAATGTTTCTCTTCGTCTGTGGCCCTAACATCCATCAGACTGCTGGCTGTACCATTGGGGTACAGTGCTCTCTTTGCACTGGAAGATGGGGAAGGGGTGGATCGGTTTTGATCTTGCCCTCGCTTCACTCCTTAGAACTTCCTGCACATATTCAGAGAGGCTCTGCATAATAGTCCCCATTGTCAGAAAACTCCTTGATCTTTCCAATTCAAATACCAACGATGAGAGCGTTTTGGCAATAGTTGGTCACAGTGGGATTTCTGTACCCTAATCCTGCTGATATGAAGAAGCATACATGAAGTGTAACAGAGGAGAGAGAGAGAGAGCACGCAAAATAGGATTTATAGCAAAATAGGATTGAGGGTAGAGATGATGTTAGCACCAAATTAGCTGAAGACCCCAAATGTAATGGAGTGTACCAGCTAGGGTCACAGAGTTACTTTTGCTGCTCTTGAACATGTTCTACGCACGTTTTGCATTTACACAAGGGTCAACAAAGTCAGGGAGGTTAAAAAACAACAACTATAGGTTTCTTTTCAAGAGAAAATACTAATGGATCCAACACGGAAGTTAGAAACTGCAGACACAGAACTATTAAGACAGGATACAGTGCTTTCAGTTCAAACATGGTGTTTAGGAAGCTGGCAGCATAGCAATCCAAGAGACTTAATACTGTATGATCACCAAGGCAGCGTGAGGCAATTTTCAAATTATTCTCCATTTCTTACTTCCCTACTGACGGCAAATATATGTACTGGTAGCAGCATAGATCTATTTGGCTTACTTGTTATTAGCATCAAGGAACTTAAAACTGCAATAAAACAGCATCCTCTAGTGGATACTCGTGTGTTGCAATTTGAATGTTCCTTTTCAAGGATGTCTTTGTTAGCTAGACTCTCCCATTTCCCAAGCTCGTGGCAAAAAGGTCCCTACTAGAAAGCTGCTTGCCTTCCCTCTGTCTACCGCCATTATGAGGTGGCTTGCAATATGAGCCTGGGCACAAACTTCAGCCTTCTTTAGGCAGGAAACATGTTAAAAGCTGGGGATTCCTATTCTGTTTTGAAGTAATAGAGGAAGAAAAACTGGAGACCATAGACAGATCAATCAGAATTCCCCATCAGCTGCCCAACACGCCTGTAATACAAGAGAAACAATTTTTTAGGAATTTCATGTATTGTTGCGCACTGTCTGCCAGGGAGGTGTTTATGGAACGTTCAGTCTCAGGTGCCAAAATAACTTGGCCAGCCTTGGGTGCTATGCATTATGTCTTGTGGGAGATAATTCTACAGTTTGCAATTTTGCAACTTTCAGCTTCCTTGGATGGTTGCAAATTCCAGTATTATGAGAAACAGGTAAAGGTAAAGGTACCCCCTGTTAGGTCCAGTCGCAGACAACTCTGCAGCGCTCATCTCACTCTATAGGCCAATGAGCTGGTGTTTGTCCACAGACAGCTTCCGGGTCATGTGGCCAGCATGACTAAGCCGCTTCTGGCGAAGCAGAGCAGCGCACGGAAACGCCGTTTACCTTCCCACCGAAGCGGTACCAATTACAGTGGTACCTTGGGTTAAGAACTTAATTCGTTCTGGAGGTCCGTTCTTAACCTGAAACTGTTCTTAACCTGAAGCACCACTTTAGCTAATGGGGCCTCCCGCTGCTGCCGTGCTGCCAGAGCACAATTTCTATTCTCATCCTGAAGCAAAGTTCTTGACCCGAGATACTATTTCTGGCTTAGCAGAGTCTGTAACCTGAAGCATCTGTAACCCGAGGTACCACTGTATCTACTTGCACTTTGACGTGCTTTCGAACTGCAAGCTTGGCAGCAGGGACCGAGCAACGGGAGCTCACCCCATCACGGGGATTCAAACCGCTGACCTTCTGATCGGCAAGCCCTAGGGTTTAGACCAGTCTTTTCTTTTTCATACTGTGCATGGTTTTATACACCTCTATCACGTTTATTTGCCTTTTCTCTAAACTAAAATGTTGTGACCTTTCTTTATAGGAAAGTTGCTCCATTCCCTTGATCCGTTTGGTTGTCCTTTTCGAGGCAATGTAACCAGAACTGTTCACAGTATTTCAAGTGTCGTTGGCTAACCTGGGTCCCTCCAGATGCTCTTAACGACAACTTCTATCAGCCTGAGCTAGCATGGCCAATGATGATGGGTGTCTGTAGTCCAATATTTGGAGGACTGTGAATTAGGCATCCCTGCTCTAAAGCTATTCTTTATTTAACTCCATGCACAATGTTAGGAGGCACGGGGTCCATTTCAGGCATTATCTTCTAATTTTATTCTTCTCCAAGCACAGAAGAGAACTTAGGTTTTCAGGCCCGTTTTCAAAATGATTACAGGTCCATTTAAACCCATTTTCAAAGTGAGAAGGAAAACAGTGCAAAACTATCATTTGTATGGAGATGGAGAAGCGCCTGGAGCTCAGCGGTAGAGCACAAGTAAAGCAAACCCTGGCATTGGAGAGTAAAACAGCTGGAGGTGGCAGACAGGACAAAGGGTGGAGAAAGAACTGAGAGTGGAGGAGGGCTCTTTCCCCATCCTCTGGACTTGCTGGAAAACTCAACAAACCTGCTGTACCTGGAACTGGGTGTAGCTGAAAGGGACATAGTTGTGGGCAGCCTGAGAAAGCAGCATCCACCTTGGGCCTGCAAGTCAAGTCAGACCAGGTGATGTCTGCTGTTTCAAAGATCTCTTCCCATTGTGAGAATTTGTTGAACCCTGAGTGAGAACCCAGAAGCAGAGAGGTGTGTCAGAAGGAAATGAACTGATATTTATATATCAGTAACTTTGTGCTAATGTAACATTTCTATATGTAACGTTTTTGTAATACAGTAGTGTGTTAAGTTCTGTTGTTGCTTCAGTTTTTCCCCACACAACTTTAAAAATATTATTTAATATATTAAGTGGTATAGAAATTAAATAAGCAATCAATGATTGCATGCGGGTAGCCCTAGGGAAAGATCCTTGTCTGAAGCCTTGGAGCAATTTTAGAATGAAAAATTAATGAATGCATTGGATATTTTGTGTTTTAAGGATAAAGCCCAGCTTGACCCCTTGACCCATTTGGGAAATGATGGAAGGCAGAACGGGTACAGGCCTTGATGGCAACCCTATGACCAATTACAGTCGTACCTTGGAAGTTGAACACAATCTGTTCTGGAAGTCCATTCAACTTCCAAAACGTTTGGAAACCAAAGTGCGGCTTCTGATTGGCTGCAGGAAGCTCCTGCAGCCAATCAGAAGCCACAGAAGCCATGCCAGATGTTTGGCTTCCGAAATTCGTTCAAAAACCGGAACACTCACTTCCATGTTTTGATCGTTCGGGAGCAGATTTGTTCATGATCCAAGGCGTTCCGAGCTCCAAGCGACCGTATTTGGAAGCAAGACCTACTGAGCTCATGAGACTTCTTGACTCAAGCTGACTCAAATGTCACCTTCACAATGTAATACATGAGGCTAGCAAGCCGCTTACTCTTAACTTGATCCACTCAATCTGAAATATGAGGGCAATATCTCACAGCTGATGGTTAAGGCCTATGTCAGTGGAACAGGGAGAGAAACAGTTTTCATCTGTCTGCAACCACACTTGTTCTGGGGCATCTTCCAACCCTGTGCAGTAGATCTGTGGAGAGGGAACTGCTGAAAATAGCTTCCCTCCCCATTCCATTGACAGAAACCACACATCAGTTGAGTAACACTGTTGGATACAACACAGTGTTATAAAAATTACAAGGAATGCCAAGTCTCATTTTTCAAGGGGGGTAGGAAAGATGAAGCCCATAGCACAATGCATCAGCAGGCAAAACTGGAGAGATCACTATAAAACATGGTTTGCACCTTTATGCATGTTATGATCTGTTTTAAAGTTCAACCTTTTCAAAATGGGGAGGGGGTAGAAAGGAAAAATGCAGTATTTGCCTTGGAGATATTGGAATGAAAACTGGTGTGGCCATTTTCACAGAGAAACCCAAGCATCACCTCATTTTCAAGAGCACCTTGAGCAAGCACTTCCTCTTAAACTCTTAATTCAAGTCCCTCATTCAGGCTGCACCTATCAAAACAACCATGACGACTCCGGTCACAGAAAGCATGATGCACAGAAGTGTGTTATTGACTTATTTTTTAAGGATCAATTGTCCAAAGTATATCCGGGCTGAAACAGGAGGATTCTAGTTCAATTGCAGTCATTGAAAAACTCTTGCTTCGGCACCTACAAATCTGAACCCACACCTGCCTTTGCAATGGCCACCAGCTGCTTTGAACTGCCCGCAGCATATTTACAGTACATTTGAGTACTCTCCTCCACACTGTTAGCAAGGCTGTTCTGTCAAATGAACACTGGTTGAATGGTATGGCTCAGAGGCCAAGAACTCTGGTGCCTGCTTGTTCTTGTCTGGGGAAGATGGCCTTTGTCAAGGTAGAAACAGTCATATTTTAAATGCCAGTTAAGAAATCTAGGCAGACAGATACGGACTGGCAGTAGAAGAGAATCTTTCAGCCCTATCCCTTTTCAAGTGGGAGCAAGGCAAGTATCACCTTGACAAAGGGAAAATTTATTTGCAGGCTTCCTTTTATACCAAGTGTTTTTATTTGGTCCTATACAATACACACAAAACACCTTACAACCACCAATATATCCTAACAGAAGTTGAGTTTTTAAGGAATTTTAAAGATGGGGCAAAACTCCTTAAAGACTTTATGGCTACTTCTCCTATTTGGTAGGAGTTGTCCTGGAAATAAGCAAAAGCCATTAGGCCTTCAGAGAAATGCCATCACTGCTCTCCAGCTAGGTTCGTGAGAGATAGGGAAGGTATTTCTAAGGCTGGCATCAACGTGCATGATTTGCAGTCACGAGTTCCAGAAAAAAAGTTGGTAAAAAAAATGTTCTGGAGCGATATGCAAGTTTTATAAGCAGCAGCTTTTGTGTATTCTTCAGCAAGCAGGATGACTGTAGCACTCATAGCTGCTAGGACAGAACTTATTTAACGTGAAGGCAGATAAGAACTTTTAAGAGTTTGGTAACCTCCAGGAAAAATACTGTAGCACACTGTTCTTCTCAGGATATAAGAATACAGACAACATCCATCTTGGAAATGTCAGGCTTTCTGTGTGGAATTACTCGTAAAAGGTCTGTGTTTGTTCAATGTACAATTCTGAGGCTTGATTATTTCTTCCCATGAAGCAGGCCTGATGTGAGTTTTCTACTGACAGAAAGAACGTATCACCTGCAAAAGTGAGGCAACAGTCAGAAGCCAACAGTCTGTACTGAAGCACAAGACCCAGAGTACCTGATGAGATATCTGGCAGTCCCAAAATTTGTAGTACCCTGGAGGAAGAGTGAAGAAATGTACTCATGACAAGTAATAGATAGGTACTGGGATGATGGGTGGGAAAGATCTCTCTCGCTACCAAAGAGATAGGGAGAAATCCAACATCACACAGATAGACATGACTTCCCCTTCTCCCAGCAGTCCTCTTGGACCCAATTTTGGGAGTGCATGGGGAGTAGGGAAAGGGATGTTCCACATGGAAAGGATGAAGTCCACTGCACAAGTAAGCCAACACCATTGGATGTCACTCAATTGTGCCACTTTAAACTGCAGTTGGAAAAGCTCGAGAAATCCTGGGATAGGACCAGGGGAGAGGGAGAGGCAGAGAAGAGTAAATAACCAAAACTAAACCAGATTTTAGAAGTTGCTTCCAGCAATAATTAACAAAAAAACCCCTTCTTTTCTAAAAAGTTTTTTTTTTTTTTGCACATTTTCCATCGATTTATAAAACATTAACTGAATATTAACAAAGTCTGAACCAAAGGAATGTGCTTTGGAAAACATTAAAATAAGTGTTCCTATTAATGCAGTGTGCCCATGTTACTATGCCGCTGTTAATCTTTTTCACCTGATTTTTTTAAAATCCTAGAACACTCTTCATACTCCCCTAGGGTCCATGGGACAATGCATTTAGAAGAGAAGCGCTCCCATGCTGCCAACTTCACTTTGCTCCTTTACAAAGATTTCAAAGTACTGGTAAATGATAGTAACAGCCAACAAGATTCCTGTGCCTGATCCAATTGCCCCAAGGAAGTCTGCCAGCACAGAGAGAGCACCAATGCAGAGGCCACCAAATGCAGCTGCTGTAGGAATGTATCTGACAAGAGACACAATGGGAAGGAAATAAATTAGATATTAAGAGACATTACTAGCATCTTCAGGCACACCTAACACCGAGTCAGTGGAAAAAAATGTTTTGTAGGTCTAGATAGTTAAGACACAGGGGAAGAATCCAGAGAAAGATAACTATGCATCAAACTGCAACAATATTAAGACTGCTTGGGTCATCCCCCCATACATCTTTTAGGTATGTGACTTAAGGAGGCCCTTCAAATCTGACCCTTGGCTTATATTTTGCACTTGTGTGTCACAGTAATGCTGTGTGAAGCAGTAAGAAAACTATGAAGGTAAACCCTGATTTTCTGTAGCCTCAGGATCACTACAAAAGGATAGTGCTCATTAAAGTCAGCAAACAATGAAGCTAGAAACAAAAATGAAATTTGGTATTCTCAGGAATTAACAGAGGCTCTTATATAGCTAGGATCTTGATGGCATGCAAAAAAAACCTTTTAAAAAATCAAAACTACAACACTGCAAGAGCATTAGAACACTGCAAGCATAATGGCCTCAGTCCAGTAAACCTGAAGGAGCGTCTCCGCCCCCATAATTCAGCCCAGACACTGAGGTCCAGCACCAAGGGCCTTCTGGTGGTTCCCTCATAGTCAGAAGTGAGGTTACAGGGAACAAGGCAGAGCACCTTCTCAGTAGTGGCGCCTGCCCTGTGGAATGCCCTCCCATCAGATGTCAAGGAAATAAACAACTATCCGACTTTTAGAAGACATCTGAAGGCAGCCCTATTCAGGGAAGTTTTTAATGTCTGATGTTTTATCACTTTTTTATTATTATCATTAATTCTGCTGGGAGCCACCCAGAGTGGCTGAGGAAACCCAGCCAGATAGGCGGGGTATAAATAAATTATGGACTGAATATAGCATTATAATCATAATTAATCTCTGCATGTTTGTAACTCACCTGTTGAGTTCATGAACCATAGAGGTTTCTCTATGACCCCTCATAACCATCTGCTGCTCTTTCAGTTGTTTAGCAACCTGCATTGGCCAAACAGAGAAAAGAAGCTTACATCTTTTTACAGTCAGTTAGTAAGATGAACTGCCTATAAATGAGAAACAAGAGACTTTAATGCTCCTCATTTAAGGACTATTAAAAATGGCAAGGCTGGACTTCTGTTGTAGCAATATTACAAATATTTCTGGAAACCAAACTAAAAAGATATACAAGTTGATGAGAGGCATGTCTCAATATCTGCCCATGGAAAGCAGACCATCTTTTCAGGTAACCTCAAGAGAATGGTTTGCAATAAGAAATGAACTATGAACGTTCACAAGCTGAAACATGAAAGAATCATCTCCATGTTAAGGACTTAATATATTGCAGCATGAGCTTTTGTGGGTCTAAACCCATTTTTTCAAGGCAAGCTCATGGCTGTTCCCTCTTTTGTTAAACAGACAACCTTGAAAGATACCAGACCTAGCTTAGGAAGACGAACAGCTTAGGCAGGGAGTGACATTTTGAGCAAGAGGCAGGCATCATGGAGTCATGTTTTAAAACTAAAAATGCTTCCTTGTATCCTATTCTCCTTAGTCAGATCTGATCCTTCCAAAAATATATTTAGTGACAATAGAATTCTAGACACAGAACTAACTGCACCTTCTACTAAATGACAAAGCAAGGGAAGCATTATGTTTTTTCAAGAGGGAAGAGAGAAGCATCCAGAGCTGTGGGGTCAATGTTATTTACTTACATCTTTGGCAGAAGAGCCAGACACTTCAATCCAAGTTTTAGAAAAGAAAGCACAGGAACCCAACATGAACACAATGTAAACAACTGCATGGACAGGATCTTCCAGAACGGAAGTAAATGACTCCGGAGGCGACAGGTAATAACAGAGACCACCGACGGGGTATGAACGGGCGGGACCACCAGATGAAGTATCCTGCAATGAAAGTGGACAGTTTGGATTGTGCCTTAAGTGGACAGGTATTATGCAGCCACCAGAGGTCACTTTTATGCCCACAGAATTCAAATATAGCAACCGTAAACCTGCATAGGTTTCTTCATGTGTGTGTTGAGAAACTATTATAGCTACTGCAAGACAAGTGCTAAATATAGGAGCTGGCAAGGACACAAAAAGCCAGCAAGGCATGGTATGAAAGCCACTTGGCTCCTAAAACAAACCTTACACGTTCATCACTCACAACACAATCCTATGCTTGCCTATTGTTCCATGGGGTTCAGTGCGATTTATAGTTTTATACTCATTTATAGTTTTAATTCTATACAGGTTTAATTGTTTTTAATGATGCTTTTTTCCTATGTTTTTAGTGATTCTTGTTTTTACCTCGAGCTGCCTCGAGGTGGGGTATAAAAAAAGATATATAGAATAATTTACTTTCAGATGTGTATAAAATTGCAGTCTGAGTCTTCCTGCGAGCACATTCGTGCTAAAAAAACTAGGGCTGTGCATGGACCCCCAATCTGATTTGTGGGGTCAATGTGTTAACCTGATTTCATCCAGCCCAGCCCACCCCAGCTCTAGAAAATACTCATTCATGGAAATCCCATTGACTTGCATTAAGAAATAAAGCCAGCCAAAATTGGATTGTGCTTTCACATTGCAGCATGAAAGTTGGCAACAAGTTAGCCTCTACAAAGGTGATTTATCCTGCCGAACAGGTATTTCCTAGCATGACCTCCCTGCTGTTAGCCCTTGACTGGGAGCATTAGGTGTGAATATAATAAAGCTCAGTTCTGTTCCTACACCTATCCCCTGAGCCTATCTCAGCATCTTCTTTATATGGTGTTTTAGTGGATTCTGTTTTAATTTTGGAAACATGGCGACACTGAGTTTGGCTTTTGTGAGTAGTTTGTTCTTCTGGGTTGCCCTTTTTTTAATGGGTCATCTTGGGAAAGAGAAAATTGCTCCAGGACTAGCCCAACCTGCCCCATAGTCACTGCAAAAACCCCTGAATCACCCCAATTCAGCTCATTATTTATACTTTGTACGGAGTTGGTGTACAAGCCCAAATAAAAAGCAGGTTTTATGTTTAAAGCTGCAAGATCCAGGACAGATCTTATCAAGCGGATACTTACCGACCAAGTGCCCAGCAGGCTGACCAGTAAGTTGCCACTGAAACGAGCGGAGAGCATCTGGGAGATCACATATAAATTGGACACCAGCGCAGATTGAAGGATGATGGGAATATTGGAGGTGTAGAAGAGTTTGATTGGGTAAGTGTTATACTGGCCACGGTAGCGGGCAGATTTTATAGGGAGATCCACTCTGAAACCCTGCAGGTTGCAAAAGTGAGTGTTAAATACAGAAACAAACACTTCTTAGTAACAGTGCATTTGAAGAGAACCTAAAAACCTTCAGTAATCTTGGAGCTCTTCCGGATTACCGGTTTCAATATTCCACCCTGACTTGCTTGCACAAAATTTACACAGTGGTTAAAGATTGCTGCTTACTGAGCAATTGTTCTGATTTGTTTGCATGGAAGTTATGTGATACCATCCAGCATCATTCACACTTCCCAGTGTCATTAGGGTTGTTTTTAAAAGAGAATGTTATGCAGGAACATCAAATCTCCATTAATAGTGCAACCCTTTCCCTTCCCCCCAGTATATGATTGATTTATAACTGGGGGGGGGGGAGATAACTTGGGAGCAGAATGCTTTTTAGAAGCAAAGAGAAACACTTTGCGTAGGAGGATCTATTAAGGCATTAAGGCCAATATGAATACACTTGCTGTGGCCATAGCATGCTTTGGTGTTATTTATAGAGTGCTATTAGCCTAAGTAGGTAGGGCTTTCCAAATTTAGGTACACAACAGGCTGCTCCCCTAAGGAACTAGCAATCTAAAACAGTACAGAAAAAAAAGGGAGAGAATGGGTAAATCACATTACAACATTTATAGCTTGGATAAAGTTGCAAATGATTAAGAGGATGTCAAAGGCCATAAAGAAAGGGTCTTACGAGGATTAGTTTGGATGAACTTTGAGAAACAAGGGCCAAAAGATAACGTGGATGAAAGCCACTGATGGCTTTAAAAAATTAGGCCTTGGAAACTGGTAGAAACAGAGTTTAAACTCAGGAACATTTTGAACAATACTTAGGATCCAGTCACAAATGTTGTAACAAGCACTCTGTTAGCAAGCAGCTATTGTTATCATCTTGCTTATATTTAAGTAACATTCCATCATTCTACTTGCCTGGAAGTAGATGACAACTGCAAAGACGAATATGGTGGCAATCAGGTTCATGAGGTTGGGGAGGTTCTGACGGTAAAAGGCTTCCCTGAGAGCTCTGACTTTATCTGTGCGAGTAGCCAGCAGATGGAACAGGGCAATGATGGCTCCTTCAAATTCCATGCCTTAAAGTGAGAGAGTGATAGAGAGATGCTTAGTTGGAGACAATTTGACATTTATTAGTTTGACTTTTGAACCAATTGTATAAAATTTGTAATAATTTATTTTAAAAGGTTATAAACTGCTTTTCACCAGTGTGGTCCCAGAGTAGTTTACAATGCAATTAAGCCAACAAACACACAAAATGCAGTTAAAAACCAGAATATACCACAGGAAAGCAATCATAACCTCCAGAGCAGGTTAGCAGATCATTGAAAGGTCTGAGGGGGAAAAGACTGTCTTCCATAGCCTAGTCAAGTTGCATCAAGGATATAATGGGGAGAATGCCAGAGACTGGGTACAATCACTGAGAAAGCCCCCTCCAAATTGATCTAACAGCCCAGGCAGTGATAACATAGGAGGGACTAAACGTTCTTACTTGCAGCTACTAACAATCATTGCTTACAGAGCTACATTACCCCCTCTAACCATGCATTAACGTCACACACAAAAATGAAACTCACTGAAGCAGTCATCTTAAAACTTGAGTTTACAAAGGAAAGAATGAACTCTTCTTTATATTCAATTTATTGCATAGCAAAAAAAAAAAAAAAAAAAAGCCTAAGTAAAGGTCCCTGGATTTAATGCAGGAAGGGTACCAAAAAACCGCAAGTGAGAAATAGTAAAGTAGCTTCCCCAGTCAGTCAATTCTTCGGAGAAGTGAGACCTCCAACAAAATGAACATCCTCACCTCCAAAAAGAAGCAATCCTGCTCAGGGTTCCAGCCAGCCAGTCAAGATACTGTTAATTGTTAATGGTTCAGGCAAACCAGTTCACTCCCCACTCTCAAGTCTTCCATCTCTCTTCCAATTGACACTCAACATTTTGTGGCTTCGGAGGAATACTGACGCCCTTATTGTACTGGTGTGCATTTGTATGTGTTTAGGTTTTTTAACATTTTCCCAAAGAATACCCAACTTTTGATCCAATCCACAGGGGCACCGAGTCACTTAACTGAGGAACTGATATGCTTCCAGTGAAACAAAGAACACGCATGTGTGAGGTTACCTCGGCCAGTGTTTACTGTAGTTGGGCTGAATGCCTTCCAGACAATAGTCTCACAGATGTTAGTGGCAATGAAGAGGGAAATGCCAGAACCAAGACCATACCCCTTTTGCAGAAGTTCATCCAAGAGAAGAACGATCAATCCAGCCACAAAAAGCTGCAAAACAAACATGAATTATTTTCCAGAGTCACCACAACCATACCTGATCACTTTAATAGAGGGGCTGTGAAATAAAAAGTGTCAGTGCTTTCTGTAAATGTCTGCTTATGCTGTTCCTAACTTAGCTGTAGCTAAGGATTTTCGGGGGGAGGCAGGGAAAATTGATTGTACAATACAACTTTTACACCTTTTAAGTAAGTTTGGCCGTCAATGTTTTTGGGACTACAACTTCCACTATATTGGACCACTGGCTGGCTGGGGTAGATAGGAGGAGTTCAACAGCATCTCAAGGGGTTTCCCTTCCCAGCAATAAAGCAACAGCTGTGCAGATACTGAATCCCTGTTTTCCTATTATTATTCCTAGACCACATACACCACCATCACTTGAGCTACACTGGCTCAGCTCACACAATATGGCCCAAGTGCACAAAAGCAGCAACACAGGTCTAAATTATTTATAGTGAACCCAATGCTTAAAAGCCCTTTGGCCATAAACAGAAGAGATGTACTAATGTTCCAAAGTAAATACTGTAACAACCCATAGTCTACAAACCAGCATACAGAAGGTGAATTGAACTGTTACTCTGAAGATCAATATGGCATGAAAATTCTTACATTGTGTTAAGCCAAATGTTAGTACAGTTCAGATATCCTATTTTTGGCAAGACTGGTCAACATACGTAGCAAGGAATCACTCTGAAGTAGGATGCCATTAAGTCATCCTCCATTTGTTCTTAGATTCTAGCAACCAGGTCTGGGAGATTTCCATTCCTAGACATCATGGCTAACAGCTGATCTTCTATAATAGTAATAATAATTTATTATTTATACCCCGCCCATCTGGCTGGGTTTCCCCAGCCATGCTGGGCGGCTACCAACAGAATATTAATAATAAAAAACCGATAAAACATCAAACATTAAAAACTTCCCTATAAATTTATCCATAAGATTTACAAGGAACCTAGAAGCTAACTACGCACTCAATATATCTAGAGATGCAAGGCTTCTATAAAGAATACCATGCCTAATAAAAGGGACGCAAATGGCACTGTGGTCTAAACCACTGAGCCTCTTGGGCTTGCTGATTGAAAGGTCGGTGGTTCAAATCTGCACAATGGGATGAGTTCCCGTTGCTCTGTCCCTGTTTCTACCAACTTAGCAGTTTGAAAGCACACCAGTGTAAGTAGATAAATAGGTACCACTGTGGCAGGAAGATAAACGGTGTTTCTGTGTGCTCTGACTTTCGTCACAGTGTTTTGTTGTGCCAGAAGTGGTTTAGTCATGTTGGCCACATGACCTGGAAAGCTGTCTGTGAACAAAGGCCTGCTCCCTCGTCCTGAAGCGAGATGAACACTGCACCCCATAGTCGCCTTTGACTGAATTTAACTGTTCAGGGGTCCTTTACTTTTTTTTTTTAGCCATGCCTAATAATGAAGCGTCAGGATGATTGGCAAATGCATTCTAGATTCAATTAATATATACTGCGAGGACAAGCAGGAGATAAAGCAGTGTGCTTAACTTTAAAATGATGGTGTCTGTAGAAGCTCAACTGAACCACAGATCTCCTAGGTCCAATCAATGAGTAGTCCAATACAAAAAATAAATAAATTACCTGAATGGTAATCAGCAGACAGATTCCAGCTCCCATCTCTGATGGGTCTCCATACATCCCCGTCATTACATAAACGATAGATTGGCCAATGGTGATAATCATGCCGAACACTGAGGAATGAATCCACAAGAAAAGACTGAATTAACCTAGTCTCCAATTACCCGAGAGGATACAATTCATCAGTATCTACATAAGGCATTAAGCCAATCCAGATGGCAAGCTCTGAAATGTCTCCTGATACTTACATTTCTGTGCCCCATTGAACAGAGCTCTGTCTTTTGGCGTATCCCCAACTTCAATTATTTTGGCACCAGCCAGCAACTGCATGATGAGACCAGAGGTGACAATGGGAGAAATGCCCAGCTCCATCAGTGTGCCTGTTGGATGTGGAAATCAGAATGACAGATAAACGGTAAGGAAAAAAAACAGTTTTCCTGCCAACCCTCCCAGCTAGTCACTGCACATGTAGAGAGGGCCAAAGATGTGCACTGTGGAGGGGAAAGCATTTGATCATAACTGAAGCTCCACTCCTTTCCAAATGATTCATCATTCTTCTGCATCTTTGTCTCACAGTCAGCAACCCAGACCCCAATCAGCAACACAATGACAATACAATAATTCTGGAACATAGGTGAGGAAGGACTACTGAAAAACATGTATGAATTATGTCAAAGCCACTTGAAATGTTCTGAGCACTATCACATTTACATATTCCCATTTTTATACTATAACATCATCATGGTCATGGAGATGAGCCAAAATTCCATTTTCCAATTTCAATATCCAGGCCATGGTTCAGTCAGTTATGCACATTGATGTTTCAGTTTTCAATGGGCAAGTTAGGTAGTTGCTCAGTTCTCTAACAATGAAGTCAGTGGCACCTCAAAATGCTTAAGTCAGTGGTAAGATCCACTCGGTTTTGCTACTTAGTATTTAAGTATAAAATTTCACAGTAAATAGCAGTATCATTTGCTAAGTGAGACATTCTTACCTCTGTTTGAAGCCAAAATTACTCTCATCCAATAGAATGGATCTGCCGAGTCTGATGACATAATACCAAACAGGGGAATCTGAATTTCCAAAAGAAGACAATTACATTAACACAGGCTTAGCTCCCTGGATTTGGTTTAAACTTTAAATTTAAAGGAAAGTATGAAATAATGTAATATGCATACCTGGCAACAAACCAAAAATATGAAGAGGGTGATAGCTGTCCATAGTACTTTTTCTTTAAACTGGATCTACAGAAGGAAATGTAATTATAAAAGAAATCACTACCACCATGTGTTTGGGGCTAGAAGAATTTGTTAAAATACAAGCCTTAGGTTCACTGAAAACAAGGTGGAGAAACGGTACCATGGCAAAAGAAAACATAACCAGGACTTCAGATGAATATAAATTTATTTTCCAGTTGCTTGGTAACATTTGAGCATAGAATTGCTAATGCTGTACTCTTGTACATATGTTGTATAGTCCCTTAGCTGGGAATCCAACACATGTGCTTAAGTTACAGACATGCCTGCACAAATGTACAAGGTAACATATGGCAACATTTAGCAATCTAACTGTATTCAGCATATACAGCTTTCTTAACACTGGACAGCAGACCAAGGGGCCAACTGAAGGTTCAACCCCCTGCTTTCCATAAATAGCATCACAGCAAGGGGGAAGATCAGCTCGGCCCCATCCATCAGTCAGGGGAAGAGCAGCAGCAGAGGTTGCCCACCTCCCCTCTTCCCTAAGAGCTCAGCTCCAAATGCCTTGGAATCGGAGAGCCTCTGTCATTGGTCAATAGAACAAGGGCTGGTGAGTTAGTTGCAGCACCTCAACCCAAGCAAGACCAACAGTAAGGGGAGATCAGAATGCTATAAATGCCAGCTTACAACTCACTAACTTGTTTTTACACTGCCAAACTGATCTCCCTTTCCGTACCTTTCCCCTTCATTCAAGTGCATTTTCTGTTATAAAGCCTGAAAGCAGTATCTTTCTGTCATTTTAACTATGCAAGCTGTTTTGAGAGACAATATTTGTCTGAAAAGTAGAATAAAATATAATATAAGCAAACTCTCCTCTTAGCAGTAACTCCTGCAAATATTGATTTAAGGATACTTACCTTTCTTTCTGGCTTTTGGATTTCAGGTAAGATAACACAGAAGGGCTTGATTACTTCAAGAAATTTAACTGTGAAAAAAGGTATGAAAAGAGAACAGATATATAGATTTCACAAGGTCCTTATCAGTCAATTTAAGAGCTAGGGTGTTAGGCTTGAACCTAGAAGTCCCAAATTTAAACCTTGCCCAGCCACTAACCTATATGATAACCCTGAGTAAATCACAGTGAACCTTCATTCCCTGTCTGAGCAAAGGCTCAGGACTGGCACAAGCCTATTTCCCACTTGCACTCCAATGGAGATCCTATGCATTGAGGTGGCTGTACGTTCAGAATCTTATTTCCAAACTGAAAGGCTACTTTCACTAGAATCACTGCTGGTGTTAGCATTACTTTGAAACTTCACATGTATTCAAACTAGTGCTTATCATGCAAGCAACCCAACAATGCAATTTTTGAAAATGCATTTTTACTAGGCATGTTATCAAATTTTGGTTTTGTCTTTTCCTAGAAGCAGAACTAAGAAGAGAAGTATAAATGAAGCTGCCAGATAATAAGGAAAGGCTATTCAATAGTAGCACAGATGAAAATCTAAGAAATTAAAACTGCCTTGTACTTCCATGAAAAGACTGCCCAAACTCACATATTTCAATAGTGTGCTAAGAGAATGAAAGGTGTTAATGCCATCAGTGTAAAACCAAATTTAAAGTTCAAATAAAAGGAATGCCCCCCAAATACACAACCCACCTTAGTGGTCACCCCATCACACTATCAAGTGGAAAGCACAGTACAATGGAAAACACATTTCCCATAGCAGTGATGTGGCAAGAAATTGGCCATCATCACATTACAGCCACAGTTATTTTAAAGGAATGCAAATAGATAGCGGGAGCAGCCCACTGTGGCTTCCACTGTGGGTCATCGTGCCCTCTTTACACTTAAACAGCACACAGCATGAAAAACATGTTTGCATTGGGAAGCATGAGGCAAAAAGAGAAGGAAAAAGTTATCTTCACACAAGGGTCACAATTAGATACGTGTGTAAAAGGAGAATGATTTCTGCATATTATAAACAATATCTGAAAGAGTTTCCCTCCCAATAAAGAGCATTATATTGTACTTGAAGCATTATGGTTATGCAACCCCTGAGCTGCTTTTTTTTTAACGCAACATTACTATTCTAAGCCATTCAGAAAATTTGTGTTTACAGGGTGGCACTGCAATGAAAAGGACAAAGTGCTTCCATAATCCAGACTGCATTGTGTCAGTTTATTAGCTGATTCTAGCTTCCCATATAAAATACTTACTAGCTTCTCATATCTATCTATCTATATATGTATAGAAGAGTCCCCCCTGGGTGTCAAACAAACAGCCACCCATTTAAGCCGCACTCGGGCGCACTCTGCGACCTTAGGGCTGGCTGGGGCTTTCCTCATCTGGAGGGCGGGGCGAGGGGGTGAGGATCCCTCATCGGGGTGGCGGGCAACGCCGAATTTGCCATTCCAGGCCGGCGCTGCAACGATCACGAAGAGAGCGAACGTGGATCGTTTTAAGGGGCGGCCACGTAAGCCTCCGCGTCTAAACAGTGCCGGGTGAGCCCCCCCCCCCCCCAGCGCAGTCCTGGCAGGGCAGAGGCACGTAACGGGCAACTGGTCCCCCGTAACGAAGCTGACAGTTCCCGCACCTGCCGTTGAATCCTCCCCGTTTCGAGGGGAGTCCTCCTCCTCCTCCTCCTCCTCCACCACCAGCCTCCCTCCCCAGCCGCCATTTCGTCTCCCTGCCCCTGACGGAAGCGCTTCGACCTCCCTGCAGCCGCCTCGCCCCTCGCCCCTCCGCGGGCGCCCTCCGCTTCTCGCCCGCCACGGCGTCTGCGGCGTCTGCGGCAGGACCGGCTCTCCGCCTTCCCTCCCTCAAGCAGCGACACCAATACTCACTCCCCATCTTGGGCGCTCTCGACGCGGAAAAGGGAAGGACCAAGCAGGAGCGCAGACTCCAGGCTCCTTTCTCGGAGAGACACGTCAGTTACTTGAGCCTTCCCGGCCTCCTTCCGCTTCCTGCCACGCACCGCCCCCCGCCCGCACCTCGCCCGCGCGCTCACAGGCAGGAATATCCACGCAGGCGCACTAGAGACTTCCCCCGCTTTCTCCGTCCTCCAACGGCTCTAGTGACCTTCCCCACTCATAGGACTACAGTTCCCAGCGTCCTCCGAGGCCTTGCCTTAACGTACGCAGCGTACGTCACGGCGGCACGTCAGTGAGCGAGTCCTCTGTAACCGCGCCTAGCGCGGTATCGTTGGGAGGGAGGGAAGAAAATCGTTTCCTTTCTGGTTCTCAGTGCGGGTGTGGTAGTTGGAGGCGGCCTAACGGGGCTGAGAAGCGTCGCGTCCCAAAGAGTCAACAGTAGCCCTTGGCATGCTGGGAATTGTGGTTCTGCGGCCATGAAAACAAATCAAAGAGAAGCGAGTCAAGGGCAATTTCCCAGGCGAGAGTCCGCTTCCAGGGAAGAGAGGCCGAGGGTGGTAGAGTGACGCACCTTTAAGGATTGCAGCCAAAGTAATGCTCAGTGGTAGTTGCAAGTCGTCCTATCCGAAAAAGGGGACACTGAAAAGCTGCGAGGAGTTTGTAAATAGCGGAAGCAAGTGAGACCTTCCACAAAAGCGTTGCAATGTATATTCTCGCTTGCTAGGGAGAATTCATTTCATCAGCCTTGCTTGTCCTCCCAACTGGCCATTCTGCTCCGTTCTGGTTTTTCAACGGAGGGCAGAGCTACGTCAGGTATACAAAGAACCCTGGGCACTATGGTTTCCCCTCACAGACCACCCTTAACAAACTACAGTTCCCTGGATTCTTTGGACCTGTTGCCCACCCCCTGCCAAAATTGGGTCCCTTGATATAATATTTGCCCCCCTGACTATCTTTGGATTTGAGCATATGGATGTCTCACTTGCTTCCCGGTGACCCCATTTTGGTTCTTCTCTCAGTGGCATTCAAGCCACCTAAGTTCACTTCTAGAATAAGTGATCCCTGGAATTGCAAGGTGTCATTCAATCATCCACAGCTCCACACCAAATCAGGTACGATACAGTCCACAGTATGCAAGGGATCTCCTTTGGAATGCACAAGCAGTGTACCTTGAGAGATCTGGTATAAACAAAACGTGCACTTGTGACTGTTTTATTGAAGATGTATGTAGTCACCAACCTTTTAAGATCTGGTGCCAATATCTGAGGCAATCATGCCTAGTTCTAAGTGCTTGGGGCTGTTTGTTTCAAGAGTGGGTAAAGAAATCTCTCTCAAACAGCAAGTTCACATTTAAAAAAATAATAAAAAAAATTGTCGTGTATGGTTTTGACACCCATAAAGGAATCCAGTTGATTTTTAACTTACAGTAAATTTTTATTATGTGATCATCAAAACTGGTTATAAGTATTTTGTGTGGCTTTGGATCCCTTTGGTCAGATATAACTCTGGTGACCACTATTTATGCCTTTGTCATTTTAAAGGTTAACTTCTGAAATACACTCCGTGTGGTATTGGCTTTTACTATCTGTGCTCATTTTGTAGAGGCTCGTTTTATGATAATGGGACTATGTCAGCATCTTCGTTTTTGTCTGTAAGGGACTAAATGGCTTTCCATGCCCCTCCCTAAGTTTGGCTAACAGTTTTTTTCTTACCACTAGTATCTGTAGAACAGCATGAGGACTGTCACCCAGTTAAATAAATCTTAATCATGTTTTATTTAGTTGATCCAGAAACCCTGTATTCCAGCTATACTAGGGGAGTGGTATTGAAGAATATGCCACCACTATACTGGTAGAACAGCTGTCATATCCTATATTAACTCAACAATCTCCTAATATACACATTGTTATCTGTATATTTTTCCCAGTACACACATTTTTGCAAAACAACTTTCCATTATGTAATGTATGTTTGTATATTATTCTACAAATATGTCATTTTTATGTACACTTTACCCTAGAATATCTATGTATATATACATCACCTGGCAGCATACATTTAAAGCTCTCTTATACCACTTCAACAGTCTTGGCTTGCCACAAAGAATTGTGGGAATGGCAGTTTCTAAGGGAGTGGGATAACAATCGCTGGCTGCAACATCATACAACCTCTCCACAAATAAATAAGAGTGAAGGCTCAGAAAAACTGTTACAGTAAAGCAACATACAACAAACTTTGTGCAAGCAAATTGGGATGAATGCTCAATAAGCAGGTCATCTGGAAAGAACATCTGTCTCCAAAAGTGGCGAGCCCGGTTCCTCAGAGAAATATAAAAGCAGATACTGATAGTGATAGAAATCACTTTTTCTCCATCACTTGGTAAGTCAAAATTTACCAAGGAAGTTCATTTTCAACTATCATGGTATGAAGCCATATACATATTTTTCCTCCATTATTTTAGAGGGATGTTCTTGGAGACTGTCTCTTTGGAAGGTTGCCAGATTGCTTTTAATACAAGACCTATTTGTGTGAGATATGGGGGAAAGGAATTGAAGCAAAAGAGGACTGGAGGATGGAATGTATGGGTAGTGACTGTAAACAAATAAAAATATCAGTTCAATTCCTAATAGAAAAATAATACTTTCTTCTTAAACGACAAAGAATCAGTGGGATTTTTGCTCCATCTTGAGATGTTAAAACCTGACGTGGCCATGGCATATTGAAAGATGGCAGAATACTACAGATTGCCATGCTGCTGCTGTTCCTTAAATAGAAATCCACACTCTTGTCCAGGTTGTCCATAGCTAGACAGTGAAAGATGACTGTGTTTCTCCTTGGGGAGCTCAGCTTGTCTTTTTCTGAACTGTTCTATCTACTCTTTCTTCAAGCTATACAGCCCAATAGATTGTTTATGCAAGTATCCCTTTATCTGGGAGATAAGAATAGCTAATAAAAGCTGTTTGCACTATTCATGGCCTTGAGCAGCTGTCAGATTTTGAAAGGTGGTGTTGGCTTTGGGAAATAACTCTAAACAACTAAGGGTTTTTGCTCTGTGTGCTACTACTGTCCTAATAAGAAATGGACAGCTAAGCCCTCAAATATATGCACTGTCTGGGTGGCAACACTCAGCCTGACACTGTGATCAGCATTACACAGATCACTGCTTGTTGCACTATCTGGATACTTTACACGTTTATAATCCAGAAATGTTGAGTGAAACAATGGACCTACACATACACACACACACAGTGCTTTTTTTCTGGGGGTACGCATACCCTTAAACATTTTGTGAATCTTTGTACTTTTGTCCATGTACTGTATTTATTTTCCCCGATTTCAACTATAAAATGGTGACTTTCTTGAGTCAAAATGAGAGTACCCCTAAACATTTTTTTAGAAAAAAGCACTGCATACACCACATACACAACTTCCTCTTATTCAGACATATATGTTTGTACTCAATGATCTGAACTTTCAAAAAAAAAACCAAAAAACAATGATCTGAACTTTCACTAACTTTATACTTATTTTTCAATATGGCATGAATAAGTCATCCATTATTGGATTACTGCAATGTGTTATACGTGGCACTGCCCTTGAAGATGATCCAGGAACTTCAGTTAGGACAGAATTTGGCAGCGAGGTTGCTGAAGGGGGTTAAACTACCAGAACATGGTTTACAGTCCTCATTTGCTTATATTGGTCACCACTACATTTCTAAGCCCAGTTCAAGGCACTAGTTTTAACTAATAAAGCCATACGTATATGGTTTGGGACCCCAGTATCTGAAGGTACCCCACTTACCGTACGAGACTATCCAGATCTTAAGATCATCTACATTACAAGATGCACTCTTCAGGATGCCACTTCCTGCTGAAATTTGAATGGTGATGAGAGAGAGAGAGAGAGAGAGAGAGAGAGAGATCTTCCTTATTTGGAACGTTTTTCCCTAGGAAACTCACATCACTGCATCTTTTCAACAACAGGCAAATGCTATTTTTGTTAATATATTTTAAGAAGCATGGTATTGAACTAGTTTCCTCCATCCTCAGAAGATGAAAACATGATAGCGGTTTTCAAATTTTCTATTATACAGATATAGATATATATGTGTATATTTTATTTTATTGGACTTAAGGAATTGTTACCTTCTCATCTTTTAAATCTTTTCCTGCTGTCATGGGCTTTGCAAGGCACGTGAAGTCCTAGGAACTGAGGTACACTGGTCTTTTTTATTTTTTATTTAATAATTTTTATTAAGTTTCCATTTACCAAATCAAACATATCATACCAATTAATCCAAATTATAACAATACAAATCATAAAATCCAATTATTTTCCAAATTATAACTCTTTTTGGAGGGTACCCATGCTCCGAGATCGGTAGGAGTCCAATCATCTGTATTTCTGCTGCTTTGATGTTTACAAATCCCATCTTCTCATCCTTGTCGTTACTCATTTTCCTTTTCAGTCGCCTCCGAGTTGTCTCGAGGTACACTGGTCTTAGAGTCCACACCACTCCTAAATTAATTTAAGCCCTTTAGTGGCATATGCATGTGTGTGTAACGGGGGGGCTATATTACAACCTGGGCAGAACAACTCTACCCTTCAAGGGAGAGAAAACTGGAGGCAGACAATCCACCAACTTCACAACCCTGATTGGCTTGCATGGCAGAAATTGGGGGCACAAGTGCATTCACCCCTCCCCCTTTGGCTATGCCCATGTTGCCTGGGATGCATTTGCAAGGGCCATGGGGTTGTGCCCTGAGCCACAACCTGCTGGGAAAATATTGGGAGCTTGGTCTTCTGAACACCTTGTATTATTAGTATTACTATTTCTGCTCTTACCATTTACTGTATTTATTAGCCACCTTTTCTGGGCAGCATGTAACAAAACCAAAACAAAACCGTAAAATGCAAAAATGCAATTCTAAAAGCTGAATTAAAATAATCCATATAAGAGAGAAAGCTGAAAACCGTGCTAAACAGCAAAATCCATTACCTTCCAGAAAAGTAAGACTGGGTAAAATAATGAAAATTTAAAAGCCAGTGAAAATAAAACGGTATCTGCTTGGCACCAAAAAAGACATGAAAGATGGTTCCAAGTGAACATTCCATAAACAAGGAATTGCTGCTGAGAAGGCCTTTTCTCCTGTGACCACCCACCGTATTTCAGCTTGCAAGGGCATGCAGAGAGGGGTATCTGAATATGAGCTCAGGGCATGGGTAGGAACACATGGAAGAGGCATGTCAACTGCTTCATTTAAGACAATGGTTGTTAGATAACCATTCTGTATAATGAATCTGTTTAGAATAATTCTATGCCTTGAAATATACTTTAAGGAGTTTCTTTCAACAATTAGTACCAAAAGTCAGATTAAGCACAGCCATTCACTTTATAATATTGCTCTTGATGATGATGATGATGATTATTATTACCCTGCCTTTTTCCTGATCGGACACTGACACAACGGAGGCAGAGAAAAAAGACTTTTTTTTTTTTTTAATATAATATTTATTGGTTTTACAAAAATTCCAAAACATACAAAAATACAAAAATTCCAAAGACAAAAAACAACAATAACAGTGACAAAAAGAAAACAAAAGATAACAATAACCATAAAAAAAGAAAGAAAAAAAAAAAGAAAAAAAAAACAGAAAAATTTAAAAATTTATACTTTCATTTAACCTTCTTATCTTTCCTTAGTTCTTTGACTTCCCCGCACCTCCCCACTTGTATTTCCATTTAGAAACTCCTTTCAGCAAATCCTTACCCTCCTTCCTTTATCTTAACTCAAAAACTTAATCTATTTATAAATAGATATTTTTACAACCTTATCAATCAAATATTCCATGCTCTTAAACACAAGGCTTTTGCCAATACCAGTTATTTTCAATCAGACCTCAATTTAACATTCATTAATTTTATAGTATTTCTGTAGATAGTCTTTAAATTTCTTCCAATCTTCTTCCACCGACTCTTCTCCCTGGTCACGGATTCTGCCAGTCATTTCCGCCAATTCCATATAATCAATTACCTTCATCTGCCATTCTTCCAGAGTGGGTAAGTCTTGTGTCTTCCAATACTTTGCGATAAGTATCCTTGCTGCTGCTGTTGCATACATAAAGAAAGTTCTATCTTTCTTTGGCACCAATTGGCCAACAATGCCCAGGAGGAAGGCCTCTGGTTTCTTTAAGAAGGTATACTTAAATACCTTTTTCAACTCATTATATATCATTTCCCAGAAGGCCTTAATCTTTGGGCACGTCCACCAAAGGTGAAAGAATGTACCTTCAGTTTCATTACATTTCCAACATTTATTATCGGGCAGATGGTAGATTTTTGCAAGCTTGACTGCCTGCACTGCCACAGAATAGACTCTAGCCTGTGTTCAGTCACACTCATTCGGAGTTTTTTTTTTGGCCAAACCGTGACCAATCATAGGTAAATGTTGAGATGTGAGGGTTGTGGTTTGGTGTGTGTGTTTTGGAGTTGGTATTAAAGGAGTTTACTCACAGTAATACTATGGGTAACCTTATAGGCAGGGGGAATTTGTAGAAGACAACCAATTTAAAGGGGTAATATTTTTCCAGGTTTTCCTGGCATCACTTTATCCTGGAATACTGTATTGAGGAGGTACCATACTGAGCCCATGCAGAATTTGGTCCTCATTCTCATTCTGTCCCTCATCTCCTTTCCCTTGGAACTCTGCATTCATTCTTTATGTGGCCATGCTTAGAATTCACACATGGATTGGCCAACATAAGGAAGCTCAGCTGATTCCTTCAGCTTTCTCTTTCCTCTTGGGAGGTATAGGTGATATCATGTGGAAGAAGGAGCTGACCTCTGTCCTCCTAAACTTATCACAAGGTCTTGCTTGGCTTGAGCTCAGTGGGATAGCACTGCACCCAGCCTTTTGGCAGATCAATGCTCAGCAAGTGTACATTGTTGGCATCTGTCTTGAGAGGCAATGGAAGAATGCACTATTAGGGGTAAAGTCAAACCTGCTGTGGCTGTAGAGACCAATATGCGAGAGACATGTTTTATTGCAGTTGGGGCAGATGAAGGCATCCGATTTCGCTGTTACAGATGCACCATGGCATTTCCTTTCTTTGCACTCCTCCCAGCAGTCATTTCTCCTCTGGTCACTGCTGTGGATACCCGAGCTGACTGTCTCCAGCTTGCCTGTGACCTATGCATGAACTTGATGTGGTCCAGCTGTTCTACAGTGGGGGGAGTTGGGAGTTAGCTTGCCCCTCTCCACTGTTTTTTGGTCATGGCATCATTGCTATAGATTTTTCTCCACCCTTCAACTGCATCCTTGAACGTTTGCACACAGAGAGCAAATATGATATTGTGAGATTTTCAATTACATTTTGAGAGCTGGAAATCCTTGAAACAAGGAAAAATTGCTACATCTTTATATAAGCAGTAAGCCATAACTCAATGGCAGAGCATGTGCATTGCATGCAAAAGACCCCAAATTCAATCCTTGGCGCCTCTATGTAGGCTGGAAACCCTGTCTGCAGGGTTTCTGTCTGCAACCCTAGAGAGTCAGTGTAAATAATACTGAGCTAGTTAGACCAATAAGGCAGCTTTTTAATGATTTTCTGCTCCACCAGATTAGGGTAATAGTCTCCATTGGGTAAGAATGCTTTTTTTCCCCACCTTGTGGACAGATATTTTTTTATTACATGTGAGGGATATTGATTGCAGTGGAGGCAGGTCTCAGCCTATAGAGATAATTTGTCAGCAACTGCCCTTTGTGCTATAGCTCCTCTGGCTCTTAAATAGGTGATGAAAAGTATTTGTGGAGCATCTGACAGACTAATCACAATGTTAGGTGGAGCAACTTTAATAATTACTGTATGAAACACGTTTCACACGCAGCTTCCGGAGTGTTAAGACGGCACCCAAGAAGAGCCTGCTGGATCAGGCCAATGGCCTATTTAAACCAGCATCTGTTCTCAAAGTGACCGACCAGATGGCTGTGGGAAACCTGCAAGCAGGATTCGAGCACGAGAGCACTCTCCCCCCCTGGAGCTTCCAGCAAGTGGTATTCAGAAGTATTGCTGTCTCCAGCTGTGAAGGCAGAGCATAGCCATCATGGCTAGTAGCCATGGATAGCCCTCTCCTCCATGAATTGGACTAATTCTCTTTTAAAGCCATCTAAGTTGGTGGCCATCACTGCCTCCTGCAGGAGCAAGTTCCATCGTTTAGCTATGTGTTGCATGGTGAAGTGCGTCCTTTTAACTGTCCGGAATCTTCAAACATTCAACTTCCCTGGATATCCACAAGTTCTAGTGTTATGGGGCTGAGGAAGTACTTTTCTCTATCCACTTTCTCCATGCCGTGCGCATTTGGGATTAATATGCATTCACGTCCTCTGATTATTTAACGCAAATGCTATCTTGGCAGTAATATTCAGCTTAGCCACAAGGTGGGAGAACTGTTTAACTTATAAATCTTCCTTTGCTTAAACTTTGTATGAAATCTACACATATGCCTGACATTATTCAATGGCTATTCTAATTGCAAAGCTACATGATGACGGCATTTAGAGAGACCCATGTATGCATGAGCCACCATAGAGGAGATGGCCCTTGCACTCAGTAACCTCCGCTGGGTTGTACAGAGATCTCCACGCCCAGGAGAGGAGCCTGAGAGAGGATTCAGATGCAACACAAGTGGAAGAGCAGCAAGAAACACCAGTGTCTTGAACAATATGCAAAACAGCACACAGCCTTCCTTCAACATTAATACTTTTCAGAATTTTGCAATGCAGTTCTCTACCCCAGTGTGTAGAAAATGCATATATTAACAAAGATAGCAGAAAAAATGCATATATTAACAAAGATAGTACAAAAAAATGCATAACCTTAAGGAACATTGCTTTGCAAAAACTTGTATCTTAAGTAAAATTGCATACAAACACACAGATAGGAGAAAATTGCACTAAGTTGTTGATTTATTTCCATGATTAATTTTAAGGGGGGGGGAGATTAACTAATGTGGAAATGTGTAGAATTGAATTTAAGATTGGAAAAATGAGATGGAGACAAACTGAAATGGTCAAGTTTGCCCATCCGTACACCCCATGTAAACAATGATAAGATTGTACTGTCAAGACATTAGCAGCAGAAACTCACCAAGCAAATTCCCTGTTTGGTTTTAGAACTAAAGTTGAAATCAGACCCCGTGACATAAGCTGTGCAGTGAATGAACTGTGATTCGTTGTTATCGTGCTGTACTTGTCTGCTCTTGCCTTTGCAAAATAGCTCCCTGGGACATTTGTAAAAGGCTTTATAAATAAAAGCTATATTGTATGGTACCCCCAATCTCCCTCTGGTAGTTAGGAAATCTTATAACCATAATGTGCGAAACAGATAGACTGTACGTGATAAAAGACCTGCAATAACCAAGCTAGGTGCCACCCTGGGCTTTCTTAACCTTGTTGTCCATGCACAAACCCACTCCAGCAGAGCCAGCAGTTGTGTACATAGCAAAGGTTCCTACATGTTGGTTGAGGCAATTGATATTCAGCAGCTGGCTTTGGGGTTTTGTTTTGTTTTTTAACCAAGTTTAGTACTACTTCTAACCCTCTGTGTGGATCTTCATAGCGTGCTTTCAAACAAGGGCTCAATATGCAGGCAGATCGCTGAGATACCATTGTTGAGATACCTGTAACTCAACTTGGCTTAATTCCTCCATTCCCAAACTGCTGCCATTTTAGCTAAAGTAGTCAGTGTTTGTAGTAGACAAGGAAGCTTGATGTCATAGGACCAATATGCTTACAAAGGTTGTGTGCCACCTCCAGTCTCTGCTGAGTGGTAGCAAGATTCCAGGTGGTTACAGGGTTGTGTTTCCATTGGGAATTCAGGCATGTCAGAGAGTGTGGCACTTTAAAATACATGGTTTATTTTACACCTAGATACTGCACACCTGGGTGGAGGAAGAGAGTTCACAGCATTACATCTCAAGAGGGGCTTGTTCCCCACAGCAGTGCAGCTTTGCAGTCCAAGGCACACGATTCTTGTTCTTCTGTCCCAGCCTGCCAAGATGGTTCTGGTAAACAGGTATGGTGGGTTCATTGTAATGGTCTTATGCTGTGTGGGAATGTTTGGAGAGGCAAAGAGGAATGCAGAGGACCTTCCTCTCCACAAATGGAGTCTATCAGACCTTATTCCTCTGATTAACTGTTGTGTTGACATTGGCAGAGTAATTCTTGTGCAGAATGTGTGAAACCATAATAATCTCCTGATGCATGTGAAGATGCTGTTTGAAAAATGTGTGTGACAATGGGAGCAATCCTTAGGCTATGGCTTCCAGATTATTATTAACAGTAAAGGACAAACCCTGTTCTAAAAGGTAAACTGATTCTTATGCCAGTCCGTAGAAAATACATTTTCTGAGAACCAGTGCAACATTGAAAATACTAAATGGGGTGGGAGAGTTTCTTTTGACTATATTGCAGAGAGGAAGGGTATTTGTCGTGTGTGTGAATTTTTGCTTGCTTAGGAGTTGAACTTGCAGTTTATGATGAGAGGATATCTCATTAATCAGGAAAAGGCATGGGAGAATCAGAATATTGTTTATTTGTTTAAATAAATCCATGTATTGTTTAAATTATGGATCATTCATGACACACCCTGTGTGTTTCTCCCATGGATAAATAAGAAAGGAGGGCGGGGGGAGACAGAAAGGAAGGAAATGATTTTGCATGGTTAAGCAGCCACTCCCCTTCAGGTCTGCTAAAAGTGGCAGCCTTCTGCAGCTGTTTTCATTTTTTAAAAAATTGGGGGACTGTTACACCCATCCCAAGTGTAATATCTAGTTTGGCCTGAGTCATGCAAAATTGCTACCCTCTCAGAGCACAGATATTATACCCTATACAAAGCCAGCATAATTGTTACCAACTTAGCTATCATAAACAGACATTTGATTTGCTGATCTATATTGCTATCTCAATACCAAAAAGGAAGATTAAAAAATGCTACTTCCTGCTTTCCTGACATGAGGCTCTTTAGGGCCAACGCTGTGGATGTGACAGAATTGGGGGGGGGGGGCACTCTACAGGTTCCCTAATCTATGACCTAGGGTATCTTTGTCTCTTCCTTGTAAAATTCCACTGCAAAGCTGGTGGATCTAACAAAGTGCTGTTTTCTTCCCTTCCCTTTGCTCCAACAAATCCTCACTAAGTTTCTCAACCTTTATGGGGGGCAGGGGGGCAGAGGTAGACACATTTATCTTCACCATTAGAGATACATATCTTTGTTGGCATGATCAGGTGGGGAATTTCTCAGGTAAGGAAGGAACTAAATTAATTCAAGGCCATTTTAGACATGGCACGGGAGATCTGTAATCAGCTCTTGACTTCAACCCACCACACTTCCCCTTGCTCTTAGCTGCAGAGAGGGCAAAGGTGGGTTCAGTATGAGTATATGTTGTTTTCCCGTTTCATAGCTAATAGCCGCTGGGAACAGGGGAAATTAGAAGGGAGGAAAATAGCACCAGAGGAAAGGGTTGGTATCCCCTCTCCTTAGCACTATGGCTGCAGTCCAAATCTTACGTCACTTGCATATGCCTTTATAACAACAACAACAACAACAACAACAACAACAACCGGAAGAAGACTTCAAGAAATCCAATCTCAGACCTAGTTGGGACCTCAGTCATTGTGGGCTGGGCTTATGTCCAGACATATGTGGAGGAGCTTGTATACCTTAAGGATGGCAATTTTAAAAATTGGATATAATGTGGTCACAGCAGTTAATGGCAAAACATTATTTAATTTCATCTGGAATTGGTTCCAGACTCCAGCGGGGGACGTATTTACCATTCAGGTTCTAGAATTACATCATTCTTATAACTGATACGGAAGGGGGGGGCATGTCTTCTTCACCTTCTTCTTCGCTACAATATATCCATTTATTTCCAATTGTCAATGTCAGAAGGGACTAAAATCTATAAAATTCATAGAAAATCAACATGCCAATTTGCTCAATTTCTCTAGGACTCCATGACACCTCCCCTGTCCTCCATAATCCCTCAAGCAAGGTGTCAGGACCCTAATCCTGTCAAATCGCTCTGCCAAGCCCTTCCTCCGGGCGATGCCAGGTGACAGACTATGCATACATGGACCATTGTCTTCTCAGGATGTGCTTATCTGCGCATATCTCCAGCTCTGCATATTCCCCCCTCCCTCCTCCATATGTTAATCCGGTGTAACCCAAACTCTTCTTAATGTATTCGTGATGTAATCTGTGTAACCCAACCTCTTCTTAATGTATTCATGATGTAACTGGGATGTATTTTGCACTGTATTCTGGGACATGGAGGGAAATTTCAAAAGTTCATGTCACCCCTTTCTCGCTGTTCAATCTTGCCTTGAACCTGTTGCGCAATAAACTTGGATCTTCTGCAGTTTGCTCCTGTCTCCGGCTGAGCTCATTTTCTTCCGCAGGGACCCGCGGACTTAGTCCGACGAGCTGGGTGGCAGAGTAGCCCCGCACCCAGATTTTACCGTAACATAACTAAACAGAGATAATACTAAAGAGCTGGTCCCATAAAGCATGACTTAACAATTTATTTTGGCTGAATGGGTATGAGGATTTATTGTCCTGCTTGCAAAAGAGGCCAGCTGATAAATCCATCCTAAGTAGATAAGCTATACAAATTCACTTGAAAGAAATGCTTTAAATCCCTCATCTACTTCAGGTTACAGAATTGACCAGCCAGAAAATGCAGGAGTCAAGTCTGCTGAGCTCTTAAGAGAAAGCCCATGCCCTTGGCAGCAGCCATTTCCAGATCACTCAGGCCACAGTTTTCTTTGCTGTAGCTCTTAGGAATTGTTGTATTACGCAAGAAGTTAAAAGGATTGAGCAGTTAAGGGAGCAAATTGCAGTTCTTGGTGAGGGTCAAAAGAGAAGCAGGGTGAGAAATGTGTGGCCCTTTCTCCCAATTTATCAATTTATTATTAACTTTAAAGCAGCCTGAAACGACTCTGATTTCAGTTGGAGGAGGAGGAGCCCCTGGGAGAGGGTTTTAAAATCAGCTAGGTGGTGGGGTCAGGGGAGCTGGTGGATTATTCCATCTGACAAGCTAACCTTAAATAAACTTTGCTCTGTCTGCCTAGTATCCAACTGCATTTGGCAAAATTCCAAAGCAGAAAAAGATAAGAATGACCTAATGAAATAGGACTTGGATCCTCAGGGAAAGTTTTTGCATTGCCTCTAGATAGGATGCTGCAACCTGCCTAGTGGGAAAACAGCATAGAATTAGGCTGCATTTTTGTTTACAGTGGTTAAAAACTGATGTAACACTTCTTTGAAGGTTACCTCATATTAGTTTGTTACCCTCTGGAATTCACTTACTTGTGAATTCAATTACCTTTCCCTGTTAATGGACAAATAAACGAAGAAGAGACCTTATGCCTAAGAAACATCCACAGCATGCATTTAAAGCACATTCAACTCACATTTAAAGCACTTGGTTTCACTCAAAGAACCCCGAGAACTCTAGTTTTCTCCTCAGAGAGCTACAGTTGCCAGCAACCTTAACAAACTACAGTTCCCAGGAAACCAAGGAAGCAGCAAGTTGCCAGCTTCAGCCTCTGCAAAGTATCCCTTATCTTTAAGAGTTGTAAAAGATAACATTTTGCCAGCTTCCTACCACTATTGACTGGATTTCACATAGTAAAGTGACCTGTCATGGAAGGCTAAGAGGACACATTGGTCAGAAAGCTAGACAAGAACTTTATTATCCCTCTCAGACAAGAACAGAGACACGAAATTGTATACTCCACCCAGAAATAACCCAGGCCAGCGCCACCTAGTGCCTAACTATAATCACACTATCCACATGAACTAATCAAGCAGTTCTGCCCCACCTGCAGCTTCTAGTTTCCTTCCCCTTCTTGCTCTTAAGTCCCACATATGGTTCCAATCTTTTTTTCCTTTTTTTTAAATCAAGACAGGAAACAAAGCAAAGTGAACAGTTTCCTAATTAAGATCCAGTCTCCTTTGCCGGCTAATCCTCTCTCTGTGCTTATTTTATTTCTGGATAGCTGCAGGAAAGCAGACCAAAACTTCCACCTTTATTTTTATTAAAAGTTCCTGATTACACTGTGTGTCTGTCTGTGGAAAGCTAGTTCCTGGAGCATTTCCATTTTGCGGTTCATGCCATGTTGCGGCTGAGATTTAACAGCCTAAGCCTATACTTAAGCAAGGGGCAAGCAGAGGGCAGAACTCCCCTGCAGTGCTACTCTATTAGCTTCAGTGAATGAGGTCCCTGTGTATGAGTCTTGAGACCTCACACTGCCTAATAAGTGTTCTCCGCATAATGTCTGGGCCTGAGCTGCGGCTGGATTTGGAGGACTACAAACACATATTCCTCATGGGAGTCTCAGGAGACTTTCACAAGCTGCTTTCCTAATCAGAGTTGATGTGGTGTGTAGTCTAAATTCAGCTCAGGTATCACTTTAACCAGCCATGTCTGCTGTGCTTTTACAAACCGCCTTCTGTTTCTTCCCTGTTGCACACAATTTCTTCCTGCCACCAATATATTCTCACAGAATCATAGAGCTAGGTCATCTGTTCTGTTGCTGCCACCACTCCACTTGATGCAGGAAACCCAGAGCTACAGCATTTCCAATAAATGGCTGCCCAACCTCTGCTTAAAGACCTCTAGTGAGGGAGAGCACATCACCCCTTTAGGTAATTGGTTTCCATGTTGGACTGTTCTTACTGTTCAGCGACTTCTCCTAATGTTCAACCCAAATCTCACCTCCTGTAACTTAGGTCCGTCTGATCTAGTCCTGCATTCTGGGGCAGGAGGAAACAAGTCTTTGCCCCTTCTACAGTGACAACTCTTCTAGTACAGTGGTGCCCCGCAAGACGAATGCCTCGCAAGACGGAAAACCCGCTAGACGAAAGGGTTTTCCGTTTTGGAGGTGCTTCGCAAAACGAATTTCCTATGTGCTTGCTTCGCAAGACGAAAATGTCTTGCGAGTTCCTGCAGGGTTTTTTTCCTTTCCCCCCCCTTTTTCCCAAGCTGCTAAACCGCTTATCAGATGATGGCTAAGCCGCTTATCAGCTGATCTTTAAGCCGCTTAACAGCTGATGCTAAGCCGCTTATCAACTGATCTTTAAGCCGCTTAACAGCTGATGCTAAGCCGCTTATCAGCTGATGCTAAGCCGCTTATCAGCTGATCTTTAAGCCGCTTAACAGCTGATCTTTAAGCCGCTTAACAGCTGATGCTAAGCCGCTTATCAGCTGATCTTTAAGCCGCTTAACAGCTGATACTAAGCCGCTTATCAGCTAATACTGTAACGCTAAGCGCTAAACCTCTAATGGGCTTGCTTCGCAAGACGAAAAAATCCGCAAGACGAAGAGACTCGCGGAACGGATTCTTTTCGTCTTGCGAGGCACCACTGTATTGTAACAGTGCTATTATGTCCCCTCTCTCAGGTACACACTGCACACACTAGCCTATTTGTAGCACACAAAAACATTGTTTTTCTTAAACTAGAATCATGCATGCTTTTCCTTACCATGCTGCTTACAATATACAGTGGATGCTCAGGTTGTGAACGTGATCCGTGTGGGAGGTACATTCGCAACCCACAGCGTTCACAACACGCAGCATCGCGTCTGCGCATGGACGGGTTGCGATTTGGCGCTTCTGCACATGCGCAAAGCGCGATTTAGCGCTTCTGCGCATGCACGAGCGCCGAAACCCGGAAGTAATCTGTTCCGGTGCACAACCTGAAAACACATAACCCGAAGCGTCTGCAACCTAAGGTATGACTGTAGTTTGAGTCCAGGTTCTGCCGTCCACAAAGCTGGGTTAGGTTACTTTGTATGTATTTTGAAAACCATGCAATCCATATAGTCTCTAGGCTAAGAATATCCAGTTCTTCCTGCCTTTCTTCATAGAACTTGTTTTCCAGACCACTGACCATCTTTGTTGTCCTTCTCTGAACCCATTCCTAGTTGTTTATGACTTTTTTTTGAAGCGCAGTGGCGAGATCTAGACACAGTACTCTCAAATGGATTCATTTCCTAAATTCTGGGGTGTGTTTTTTGTAACAATATAAACAACTAATATGCTCACAGTTTTGTTCTGTATGGTCAGAACTCAAAATTGACATCTGAATGCGGATATGACAAGGGTAATAATATACCCTCTTGACCCTGAGCCAACCTGATATAGGCCACAGTATAAGACACTGGGGAGGAAGAAACTCAGTTGCAATGGACAGGATAGTCTTTAGTGATTTTGCACCTCCAATCAGCCCACGTTGGACCTTGTGTGGTGCAGTTGCACTGGTAATAATAGTCCATGCCACAGATCACATTGTTTTTTTGCCTTGCACAGCAGTTTAAAGGATCAGGTAATTTGCTGCCCAACCAAATAAAAGAAACATTTTTTTTACAAACAGACAGACTTTAAGCTAAGGATGATACATACTTCGGCAGATACTTGCAAAAACAAAACTCAGACTCGTATTTCTCTTCTGAAAAAGGCTTTGAATGTTCATTGTATAAACATTATGTGCTGTGATAAACAGCACAGTCCTAAGCACATCTACTCAGAGATGAGTTCTATTGATGTCAATGGGTTTTACTCCCAGGTAAGAGGTGTAAGATTGCAGCCAAATACACACACACACACACACACACACACAGCAGAACTTCACTTCTCTGGGGCTTATGTTTTGTAGAATTCATGCTCTCCTGAAGTAAAAGGATATTATTAAATCATTCCATCAAGTGCACATAAGGCATTGAAGCCAAAGAAAATAAGGGAGGAGCATCAAAGGACGTGCTGTGTGTGTTTCACAGGCAGTTTTATAAACATCCTTTCCTTTCAATCTCCAGATCTGGAGTAAAATGCTAGCACATCAGCTAGCATATCAGCTGCAGCTGAGCATGACTGGTAAGTGAATTGCATCTCTTTGAAGAAATGCTCAGATCTCTCCGATCCATTTTAAAATCTGAAGTTCTAGAGAGATGTGAGGAAATATTTTTTGATTTCTAGCCTGTTGGGTTACTTACAGTATGTATGTTTGGAGAAATGATGGCCCTCAAGAGATGTTGCTGGACTCCAGCTCCTGTCAGCCCCAGCTGGCATGAGCAGATGAGCAGACATGATGGGTGTTGCTCAACAACATCTAGAGAGCCACAGATTCCCTATCCTTGGCTTACAGCATTATTTTGGTCTGATGTGAGACATTCATTGTATACTGCAGTGCTGGAAATGTGGGCATTCATCCTGATTTGTTGGAGGGAATGGTAGATTATATTGTGTCAAGCCAAGGGCTATCCCACACTTTCCACTCCATTTTCCTGTTACTGTACACATAAAGTACAGTGTTTTGGGGAAACGGGTTTTTTACGCAACGTTCCCCCCCCCCAACCACTATAACTGTGTGACCAGAGTTTGTTGATACACGATTGTCACTATTTACAAGTGGGATTCAATTTGGAAGCTCCCTATGGCTAAAAGAAACAGGGAGGACCAAGTCACAGTGTTTTGCTTCCCCCAATTCCTGGTCCTTAGTCCCCCTGTTCTGTGACTACAACACACACTTTCCGGCACCAGAACATGCCATTTCCCTAACAGCAAAGAGGCGCAATTGCATTACATTGATTACATTAGCTTGCAGTGAATGGATTTTCTTGTTGCAGGCGGAAACAGGTTTTATTTAGTTCAGTTCTGCAAGTAACAGGAAGTTAATCCAAGGCCGCTATCAAGCAGGGATGGGGAATCTGAGATCCTCCAGAGGTTGTTGGACTTCAGCTCCCACCGTTCCCAGCCTGCGAGGCCAACAATGATGTAAGCAGGGATGATGGGATTCATAGTCCAGCAACATCTGGGGAGCCAGATTTCCCATTGAAATTAAGGCACTTAATTTAGGCTTGAACCCTTGAACACTTATTATTTGTTAAATTTATAATATATATACTGCCCTTCATCTGAAGATCTCAGGGCAGTTTACAATATAAAATCACAGCAAAAACCCATTAACATGCATAGGTTACACTGTTAGCCATCTTCATGAATTTCAGTGGGTCTACTCTTAGTAAAACATGGACATTTTTATTCCTCAATGGCAGTCCCTCCAGAGCCCCCCAATTTAGCATGGTTTAAGTTGGGAGCTTCAAGGATGCTTCCTTCTGATCTTCTGGCCCGCAGGCTGGGCAGGGCAATTTCACAGTTTCTTGCCCCCTTGCAGGAGGGTGTAAATGAACCATATAAATGGCTGAGGTGATCTGCTGCCTTAATCACTCATTAGAGCCCATAGTTAAATTTGGAAAGAAGACAGCTATTAGCATGGTAGGTACCATGGAAACAAAACTCTCCACTAATGAGAGTTGCCACTTCCCTGTTTAGGGGGAGTGCAGTGCATGGGGGGGAAATGAGAAGAGGAACGCAGAGAGGGAAGCATAGGGTGCAGTGGTGGGAGGGCAGGGAGGAGCAGGCTGCAAAGGAGGAGATGCTCAGGTGAGCAGAGCAAGATGTGAGCAACCACCCTGGTGAGATGTTATTTGCAAGTCTGTACTCACAGAGCTCCTGTTCCACATTTCCAAGTGGGCTGAAGGTTATGTAAATAGTCTTTATTTAGAACTGACAACCACAGTGTTAGCGATGGGCAAAAAGCTGTATTTGTTTTTACTTTTTGAAAGTGTAAAAATAATTATCTCCTTTTGTTCCTTCCCCCCCTTTTGCTAAAGCTTAGCTCTGTTGCTCCTTTGTCTTTGAAATTGAATATATATATATGTGTTCCATTTCAAAGATATAGAGGCATGCAAAGATTAGGAGTTCTTTCAGACAACCTGATTATTGAGCACTAGCAAGATGTACCTGGTGCTGCTCAGCAATTTGAAGGTGGGGGAGGAATAGTGTTATGAGTTGGAGGAAGTAGGCTGTACTTGCCTGGATCTAGCAAGTGGTAAAATCTAATTAAGGATTCAAATTCCTGGATTAGCCAAGCTAGCTTTCTGGTGAGGTGATAGCCTAGGACCAGTTAATGGGCACTTAAGGGAACAAAGAAAGTGGATCTGTGCCTCAGCTCGCCAGTAGTTGGAAAGACAAAGGCCAGAGTGGAGAGTGGCATTATGTCAGCTAGAAGGTTGAAGCAGAAAAGGCAGCAGGCTAGGGAGCCAGCCAGCCAGCCAGTGATGCTCGATTTCTGTTTGAATCCAAGGCTGCAGCTACAGGAGAAGCAAGACCTAACTGGGGTGTAAATGCTTGGAACCCCTCCATCGTAGGCTCAGGTTGTATATATGTGTAAATAAACCATATACTGTATAATAAAGACACCACAGTCTCCGCTGTGCCTCATTTCCAGAAGGAAAAACGAACCCTGGGTAAGCGCCTGGAACCCCTGGAATCTTGCACCACTCAGAGATTGGGTTGGTGTGCAGCAATAGAGATTTCTAATTTGTGAGTTTGGGTGCTGTGCTTGCATGCACACACACTCACACATAGCTCATACAGGGTGTTTATATGTCTTCTTATTAATAATTCGTTCATCCTATACTTTTCAGTGTATTCCCAATTCTCCACAAGGTCATTTTTTAAAGGAGGGGAGATGTAGATTTGTTATGCTAGAGCAACAAAGTGCTTTAATCCAAACTTAAACTTTGGGATGTGCTTGAATCCCTCCCACAACATGCTGACAGTCTGGAGATGATCTAGGTAAAAATATAGCAGCTTTATTGGACAAACTGGACAAATATAGCATCAAACCTTAGGGCATATGTGGAGAAAGTTCTTCAGTACTGTTTATCATCTCTAAACTCCAACAAAGCGATGTATACTTTGTTTGTGTGCACTTGCAAGCATCCCAATGGCCTTTTGCCCACATCAGAATCAAGATTCAACATAATCTATGGAAGCAGCACCCACATTTCCCCAGACTATAGGCTAAAACCTTTTCTTCTAGTGTTGACAGTATAGCCGTGAAACATTCACATGTAAATGTTTTAACTGTCAAATACATCCTACCTACAAAGCACACAGGAAGGAAAAGGTTGAGTCATGAGGCTCACAGCTTCACTTCTTTTCTAGATTAATTCTTTCTATTAAACACATACACATGCTGATTCAACCCTAGCACATTGTTCTGCATTGAGCAACTTCTTGTGAAGTTCATGCTACCTTTGTGTGTTTTATGAAAAGTTTATTGATGTTTCAAGGTAAAGTTGATGAGTCATAAACAGGGTAGGAAATATATCTCACTCTCCTCATTTTTCCTCTGTTCAAGCTCCAGCAGCAGGAATTTTAAATAGGGGCTGGCTACACATTACACTTGAAAAGTGAATGACTGCTTCCCAAAAGCCCTAGACCACTCATTCTGGACCCTCACACCTATGATTCTCTTCCCTTTTCAGCTCTTTCTCCCTTTCTCACTCCTAGGATCTCCAGGGCTACTACTGATGCGACATCTGCATTCTCAGCTCACCCTTTCTCTACCTCAGTACAAACCACCCCAGGTGAGCAGTAGGTGATGGTAATGGCACTAGTGGCAGCAGCAGAGATTGCCCTTCCTTAATGCTCTAGTGTCAAACTCAGGACAGAAGAGATGGATAAAGGACCAATAAGACCAACCTGGGTGGAAAGTTCTGAATGTCCCAGCCTGACTTATGGTAGCAGAAGACCAACAGAGAAGGGCTCTAACTCAGTAGATGAACACATGCAAAAGGTCCCAGGTTCAATCCCTGGCATTTCTGTGTTGGGATAGAGAAAGATTCCTGCCTCAAACAGTGAAGAGCTACTGCTAGACATAGCAGACTAGGGGTAACCCATGTGGTGTGCTCAAAATGTTGTTGGACTACATATCCCATCATCCATTGGGCATGTTGGCTGGGACTGCTGGGAGTTGTAGTACAACAACACCTGGAGGTCACCAGTTTGGCTATCTCTGTAATAGACAGTGCTGAGTTAGAGAGACCAATGCTTTGACTTCATGTCCTACAGCTTTGTATGGACCTCCTCTTCACTCCATATGGAAACTATAAGAAGCAAGCCCTGAGGTATTAAGGCAAGGAAAATCCTTCATTGTATAAGGCACCAAACCAGAACTTTAGGAAACCATTGCTGATAGTTTATTCCAAACTTCAAGAGAACTAATGTTCTATCTATTCTAGCTGAGATTCAGCATCTGGACGATTATGGTTGTACAGTATGCAGGACTGTATGAAAGAAGGCTGCTTATCTGCAAACTCCGCCATCAACACAGGGCCAATGCAATCTGACTTTTGAGCCAATTCCACCTGATTATGAGACTAATAGCACAATCCTATGTGTGTTTACTCATAAATAAGTCCCATTGAGTTCAGTTGAGCTTACTTCCAGGTAAGCAGGTACTGGATTGCACCCTAAGGCCATCTTTTGCATTCCATTTGGCCCTCTGCTGACAATTTAATGGTTTCACAGTATTTATGTCAGTATAGAATTCTGATTTCTGAATGTGCAAATGTTTTCTTGATTCTTTAAGCGACTGCAAAGGCTTGCATTCACTCCAGATGCTTTAACTAACAGTTGTCCTGGCATTTTTAGGTGTCCAGGAGACATTGCTGGCCATTTATATGAAAGTCTCTGTTCTAAGCTCCACATATCAACCGCAAGGGAAACCTGCATGCCTATTACTCCACTAAATCAGGAGGAGGAGGAATGAGATCCCGTGGGTTCAGCTGAGCAACAAGACAGACATCATAGCTATCATGCATGAGGACGTTGACAGCCACAACATTCCACTGATTTTCCCAGGTGTCCAGCTCTAAGATCTCTTTGGTGATAACTTCATGGCGAGCTGCAACCAAAAAAGAAAAAGAAAAATGAAATTCAACATCAACAAAGGAGTCAAGAAACCATCTTTGATGTAAGTAACAAAGCAAAAAATTCTTTTATGTTATGCTTAGATTAAAAGGAGATATGACAGTGACTGAAGCATGATTTGCAAACCCAATATTTGTATTCCAAGCTGTACAATGTGTCTGGAAACTCCAGGTTGTGCTGATTTGACTTAAGTCATTTTTTCTTGGCTTATAACAAAAAGCCATCATTCATTGAGTATTGGTTCTCTCCTTTGACCACTGTATCTAAAAAGGAAACAAACTTGGTTCTTGGATGTGCCCAAACTAATTGCATGCTGAATGCATTCTAAACTAATATAGTGCTACATGGTCCAGAATTGTCCTTTTTCTATAAAGTTTGTTTACAAGTAAATCTTTTCCAGGAAAGTTCCCTTGCAATGTTAATGGAAAACTCCCTCCTTACTGGTTTTACCCGGTTTATTGCTTCCTTGCAGAGATAGGGGATCTTTAACTACTGGTTTTCTTGGACTTACTTTCTTTCCTTTTTTGCAAAATGAAATCAAGATCAAAAATAAACGAAAGGAAATCAATAATTTAATTTCTTATCCTCATCTATACTGAACAGGATACAAGTAACATGGAGTTTTAATGAAAAGGCCTGCTTGCCTGTAAAAGCCTCAGTAGGGTTTTGCCTATCTATGCTGGTGCTACAACTGCTTTTTATTGACAAGAAAAGAAAAAGGAAATGTGCATCAGTTCAGGGGTTGGGGAAAAACAACACTGAAGACACTGCAAGACAGTGACCAAGCAATGATAGCTTCTGGGTTATCTGTAAAATGTGAATGTTGGAGAAAGGATAGCAGTTATTGAAAAAAGGGCTAGTGTGCAAACAATCCAATTTGTTTTGGCTGCTTGGACAGAGTTAATAGTTATTTGGGCCCTGTCCCCAACCCCCCAATTCAAGGGATGGTGGGGACCTCACCCACAAATAAAAAGCTTGCATGCCAAATAATCTAATATTACTCGCACATAACTTAAACCTAGTTCTATATTTATTTCACTGCAAGTAAATGACTTATTTTACATTTCCCAGTGGCTACAATGGAGTACTCTAAGATATGTTAGGATAGGAGCCCTCAGTAAGAAAGGACTCTAAATACCAGCTTCTCATTGGCATCTGCTGGGCCACTGTGAGAACAGGAGGTTGGGCTAGATGGGCCTTTGGTCTGGTCTAGAAGGGATCTTTATGCTCTTATGACTCCTGGCTCTGGGCCCTGTTGTCACACTTGCCCTGCATTCACATCTCGAGCACTACAGTGGTGCCCCGCAAGACGAATGCCTCGCAAGATGAAAAACTCGCTAGACGAAAGGGTTTTGCGTTTTTGGAATCGTTCCGCAAGACGAATTTCCCTATGGGCTTGCTTTGCAAGACGAAACGTCTTGTGAGTTCTTGCGAGTTTGTTTCCTTTTTCTTAAAGCTGCTAAGCCGCTAAGCCGTTAATAGCCGCTAAGCCGTTAATAGCCGCTAAGCCGCTAATAGCTGCTAAGCCGCTAATAGCCGTGCTTCGCAAGACGAAAAAACCGCAAGACGAAGAGACTCGCAGAACGGATTAATTTCGTCTTGTGAGGCACCACTGTAATTTGCTATGGCTGGAATCTTTTGGTGTGTGAAACGGCATAACCCTGCAGAAAACACATTGCAAGGAATGTGGGATGGTTTCCCAATGTTTGGCGTGGTCATGGAAAAAAGAGAAACTAAAATGAGTAACTTCGGCAGGCAGCTGCAAATCACACAGAAGTGAACAAACTAATTAGAGTGGATGTTGGCTTGCAAGTAGATTCAGCAATGATTAGATCTGCATTAAAAGGTATGTATGCTATCCTAAGTATGCCATTCTGATCCTGGTTATCTTACATTGTTTTGTTTTTGTGGATAAAACTGAGGGTACCTTTACTTACAAGGATGAGACCTGCCTCTTTAAACTTAACTCGGAATGCAATTACTAAACCTTTATTGGCTGCAGTGAACATTCAACATCCTTTCCAAATTCTTCCCCAAATTAGTAGCCTTCACATGTGACACACAAAGACATGTCAGACATTCTCAAATGCATTGTGTAAGAAAATGCCCTCCAGGCTTCTGGAAACTGAGTTTTGTGGTTTCCATGGGCATGAGTGTTAAGCAGCCATCTCCTTCGCAGGCTGGAGACAACTTTCAGTGCCTCTCTTGTACTTTGCCTGTTTGGAAAAACTGATGGATTTGGCAAGAGCAGTTAGATTCAAGCAACTCTGTTAAAGCCAGTTTTTATAAAGAGCAGCTTTTAACCATGGCTGAGCAATCGTACTGTAACAAAAGAGCCACCAAGCAAGAGAGAATTTTGCTTCAGAGTTCTTTCCCCCCTCTTCTTTTATAGGTGAACGGAAGAGCCATTTATTTTCTAGCACAAAAGCTGGGCTTTTTGACACCTATTACAAAAAGCCAACTGCTTTGGTATTAATGAGAAGTTCTTTTAAAGCTACCTCCCCCCCCCCCCCCAATACCAGTTAGAAATTTTCAGCTGAACTTTTGCTGTAGCTAAAATGTGTGGATAGGATTTGCTCATCTTTTTCATTCTCTGCTCTGAGGAATTTCTAGGTCTAGCCTGGCTTGGTACAGCCATTGGGGTAGTGGATTATAACTCTTTGAGCAATTTCACACATTGTACAGCAACAAACTTGGGTTTGCCACTGTTCACCCTCAGCAGGGAGTCATAGCCAATTCCAATGCACATCCTCCCAAATGTCTGTTTGTTGCATTCCCACTGAATTTCCAGCAAATTTCTTCACTGTTAACACAGGAAATTATTTACTGGACTCTGACTGGGGCTTTCTCTTCATTTGTAATACAGTGGTACCTCAGGTTACATATGCTTCAGGTTACAGACTCCGCTAACCCGGAAATAGTGCTTCAGGTTAAGAACTTTGCTTCAGGATGAGAACAGAAATCATGCTCTGGCGGCATGGCAGTAGCAGGAGGCCCCATTAGGTAAAGTGGTGCTTCAGGTTAAGAACAGTTTCAGGTTAAGTACGGACCTCCGAAACGAATTAAGTACTTAACCTGAGGTACCACTGTATCGCCATTATAATCTTGCCCTTTCTTGAGGACTATAAAAGTGGAACAAGAGGAGAGGCTATTTTGCTGCTTTTCAGGGGTGCTCATTATCCCTTATTTATGGGTGATGAAATTATGCCATTGGAATAATGGATACAGTGATTTCTTTGGCATGGGGTAATTGTTTATTATGATATTTGTATTCTGTGTTTTAATAAATATTGTACTTATGGATTTTATGTTTGTGTAGTTGCATGTCCTGAAACTTTTGAGATGGGGAAGATAGAAAACAAGTTAATTAAATACAGTAGTCCTTTATCACTTTGCATACAGTAACTGCAATCCTAAGAAGTGAAACCGATAAAGTCACATACTGTACATTTCATTTTTCTAGCTTTTCATTGCTCACAAAATTGACATAGGTCTGCAGGAACAGGAGATGCAAGCTTATGTGCTGAAGAGGGGAGTGAACAGCTGTAAAAACATTGATTTTTTTGAAAAAGGAATAGATCATTGAAATTGTGGAAGCAGTGCTAGGAGAAAAGGAAGCAGCATCGCTGGGTGTCTATGTTTACATAGATCAGATGAGGATTCTTGCTGATGAGGACTCCTTATGGTCTAAAGATTAAAACATTTTTTTTTTTAAAAATGCATTTAATGGCAAATAGGAAGGAGAGAAAGGAATGTGTCATTAACCCGTCAGAATTCCACAGGCATTTATCTGTGCTTGTCATGGAACCAGCTACCAAAAGTGAATGTACTTGTCTTGTTTTGACAAACTAGGTAAAATCTCAATGGATCATTGGAGATTTGGCAAAATGTCACTTATTGTACAATTAGGTCAAGCCTTAAATTCATCTGATGCTGGCATTTAACACCATTATTAGCCAGTTGTGTCCATAGTACAGTATGGCAAGTAATTTATGTTGGAGGCATAAGGCAGCTAATCTGGAATGTTATATTTTGAGCTTACTTTAAGGTTGTGAAATTTTGGTCTGACATGGTAAAGGAGATTGAAGTGATAACAAGATATGTACAGTACTACTAATTGATCCTTTATTTTATTTGCACTGATAAAGGATCAAACACCATTGGAATATAGGGAATTAGTTCAACAATTATTGACAGTTCTTAAACTGATCATCTTTTATAACTGGGAAAAATGAACTTAGCAACACTGGAGGAATAGATATTTCAAGTATGAGATATTGTACATATCATTAAACTAAAGTGAGACAGAGAGGGAAGATAAACTGATGATCTCTTTGTGAACAAATTGAATGTGTTTATTAGCTATTGGTGCAATAAAGTACAGGACCATGCAAACCCACACAGACTATTGGGTTTGTTGGGAGCTTGGCAAGGTGGTTTCAGTTTATATTTTTATGTATAGCTTTGTTCTTTTTTTTTTTTACATTATGGATAGTATCCTTGATGTATCTTTCAAGTCACAAATTTAGCAGTGAATTATTATTTTTAAAGACCAGGTAAGGCTTTAAAACTTTCATGTTTGCACCTCTGTCCAGGATAAGTGCCACTAGCTTACTTTTATTTGCTTTTTATTAGGAAACATACTTGCTTAATATTCCTAGCCATACTATGCTCTGCAACATTCTTGCAGATGCTCTGCAAGGGAAGAAACACTACTTGGAGGCTCATAAACTTCCATTTCCAAGTATGAATGC